CTTCTGCCTCAAAGGGCCATGAAGCGGGCATCTCTCGACTCTCGCACCCCCATCCTCTGGTGCACCAGGCCCAGTCCCTTCAAGGGGAAACGGCCAACCTACAAAGGCCTCAAATACCCCAGTCAGCAAGCTTTCATGGTCACCCCCTGCATGGACGGTCAGTACACAAATGCCTCTACATGACTGGAATATTCTATGTCAAAAGCTAGAATTTATACATATTTATGTAAAATGAATAGATCAAAACAAGCTAAAGTATTTAGCTTGTGGTTTGTAAGGAAAGTCAACACATTGTCTGACTACAATGCACTGCTAAAAGAAGAAGACAAATTAGACAGCAGAAGCATGAAAAGTCTGGATCATGAACAGTCAGGCATGTGAATTTATGTCATGCTGAATAAACAACAAAAGACAATGTCTGACTTTTTGTCCTTTTAATCTACAATCGCCGCAATTCTGCACTGTAAAAAAAAAAAGCCAGAGTACATTTACACCAAAAAACGTGAAAGATTTTTTGGATACTCTGACATTCAAAAGTTGTAAATTTGCAAGAAAAAATTATAAAGTTCTAGTGGTTAAAGGTGTGAATTTAGGATTTTTAGACTGGGATATTTTTGACATTGTGAAGTCAGAAAAGTGTGCGGGGAAAAAACAAAACTCTTAACCTTCTCAGATTTTTCCTATAAATCTTCTGTCAGACATTTGTGACATAAAATGCCGGTAGTCCTGTGATACTGAGGTGGTAAATGTAGGAGGTGGATACTTTTAATTTGTCATGTAATAAAATTTTTTATAAAAAAAAATAAAAACACATACAAACTGTATAATGCTTTAGAATTAAGCATAGCTTTTTACTTTAGTGAAGATTTAAATGGCAGAAATAAATGCAGATGCTATATGTAGCTCAATGAAACATTTTTGAACCTTAGTATGCAACAAGTCACCGTGAGTTTTAACAGGGAGCGTTTTGTCACAAACCTGCAACACATTTGTGAATTTCACTGAGTGATTTATGCTCGTCTTCTTTGCTTGTGGAAATATAAACAGACTTCACAAAGTTTACACTTTGTTTAAAGAAGACTGGAGGTTATAACACAAAGAAGACACAAACTACTGACGACATCGTAATGAGGTGGAGTTGGCAGGTTTTGTTTGTTTGGGAGATGATTACATAAAAAGGAAAATGTTGTGTGTGCATCTTTCTCTTTGACCTTTATGTTTTTATAGATCATATTTGTTTAGCTGCTGTCCAGCAGAGGACGGTCATGTCCCTCTATCCTTATCCGCTGTGAATAGATCCATCATTCACTTTTACAACTGTGCCTAATTTTATGGGGGCATTTTCGAATGAGCATAAACTTCCCACCTAAAGCCTTATGCTAACATTTAGTCTCTCTGTTTGTTTGTTTTTTCAAAAACAGTACCAATCAGATTTAGCTTCCAGTTTGTGACCTTTAGCTCAAGTAGAGCCGGGTCATGCAACAGGACGTTGATCGAAGAGCACATACAAATCTGTCTCTGAATCGTTCCCCGAAAAACAATAATTTTGAAGTGCCCTAGTCAAAGTCTGTACAAAATTTGATAAAGGTGCATGATTCCAAATGGGTTGTTCATGATCAAAAACACTCAAACGTGGCAACAAAACATCAAAGTACTTTGCATCATAATTGTGATTGCGCAATAAACATTTAATTTTGTCGAATGACATCATCAAAAATATGAAGCAAAGGGACATCAAGTAATATATAATGATCAATATTTCAGTTGTTATGAATCAAAACTAACGCGAAGCAGGTGGATTTTTAGCCTTGATTTAAAAGAAGTCAGTGTCCCAGCAGTTTTGCAGTTTTCTGGGAGTTTGTTCCAGACTAGTGATCGCTGCTTCTCCAAGCAGCTCCCTAACGAGGTGCTTTTTAAAAAAATATTTTTGAAAGTTTTAACGCACTGCCTTTGTGGGCTTCAATTTATTGTGTGTGTGTGTTTTTCTTCCAGATCAATGGAGTTTTCTCTCTACCAGGAAACTCCGGATCCACAAAAGCAAGAGGCGACCCCAAAAGAGCCGAGTGCGGACCCAGGTACCCTGGTCTGAAAACTACACGATGCAACGCATCAGCAGAAACACCGTAGCCTCACCTGGACTCAATTAAAAGTTACAAGTGGATACAACGTGACCTCAGTAGCAAAGCAAAACATGGCGACCTCAGCAGAATGAGACTGAAGTGTGGCTATATAGTTAAAAAAGAAGATAAAGAAGCAAAAAACAGAAAAATTTCCTGTGTTCTGTCTGATTCCAACAGTATAAACTTCTAACCCAGTGTTTCTGTATGAATGTGCACTGGTGCTGACTTGTCAAAACATCTTTTACTAGTAAACGCCGCGTCTGGTCCTAATAAATCTCCCAAGATATACTTTTTTACAGAATATAGACATCTCTAAATAACTATTTTGTATATTCTGATATGAAAACAGCTATATTACAGAGGGTAATTTATTGCTTCTCAAATATGTGATAAACAGTAGCTATGGTCTCAGTCCATTTGAACTAAATATCTACACGATTGCTTTTCTAAACTATATATGAAAAAAAAAGTGAAAACATGCCTCACAGTTCATCTACCATTCACTCGCTAGCATTTCTCTCTTTTTTTTAAGAAAAGTATTTTATGTAAATGAACGAGGAGGCAGGAAATGTAGTGACATGACGCTCAGGCGGAAGTGCCAATGTGTTTACAAACACTGCCTCGCTGAAGTATTAGTAGCAGATTAACGTTTCCGCCTCTTGTCGTGTTACAACCACAAACGTCAGACTGGACGAAATACACCGATGCAAAAAGACGAAGGAAAACGAAAAACATGCATGGCTTTCAGGGCGGTTTAGAGAAGTGAGGCATACAGTTATGCGCAAAAGTGACTGACTCAAGGGGAGCTGAATACAAACGCACCCCTCACTTCCCTGCTTTTTGTCTGTAAAATATAGAAAATCGTGCATCATTTTTCCTACTCGATTTATGCGCTACTTTGTATCGGTCTGTCACGTTCAAATCCCAATAGAAACGTTACGGTGATCAGGCTGGTTCAAATACTTCAGCTAACTTATGTGCTAACAATAATCTGTAAAAAGTTATAATCAAAGTGAAACCGTTGATGATGTCCCTCAATTAGTTAATAGACTGATGTGATTGTCTTTTTTTTATTTTCTAGACTCAGATAAGTGCTGGGTGATAAATGAAGCCTTCTCTGTTAAGACCTCAACAGGCGAGTTAAAACCAGCTGCAGGTAAACGCAGCGCAGGGCTGGAGTGAGACCTGCTGTTTGGTTGTAGCACATGACTGTAGGACAACAAATGAAACTACATTCAGCTGGATTTGAGTGTCATGCAGAGCACTTTATAAACATCTGAAGCCTTAATTCCCCATTAAATGGTCACCAGGAGACAGTGAGGTTTTGCTATGAGGCAAAGCTGAAGAGGCTTTTCAGCGTCTGCTGGAGGCCCGGGTGTCGGTGTGTAGATGGAGAGGAGTTTCACACTGGCATTTTATTCCCAACTAATCTTATAACGTTACAGTATGAAATAACCTCACCATGCCTTCCACCCCCAAGTGAGCATTATTGGTGGTTTTGTGTGAGCGGAGCTGCTGCAGCGTTGGGCGAAGGTGTGAGCAGGTCTCGCACTGGTACATCCTGTAAAATAAAATGAAAACTGGTCTGTATTTGTAGGGACTATAAATCATGTGCTTGGGGCTTTATATACATTTTGTTTGTTGTTTAACAGAAGACCTCATTTTACATTTTTATTATGTTGCATCATAATTCATTTTCTAATCAGACTCTGTAGCATTTAGAAAAGCCATGAGGCATAAAAAGCTGAAATGCTGTTTGGTGTAGCATAACTTTTCTTTCTTTTTGTTTTTATTCTATTTGTTGTCGGTTCATGTACTTGAAGCATTGCCATTGTAGAACTAATTTGAATGTGATTATTTAAGTGTGTGACTATGTTTTGCCACTGTCGTAAAGTGAAGCACGCCGTGGAGTGCCACGTTTTCTGATGCGTTTCAAGTTTCCAGCTTCACAAATCTCCCTCCCAGCTCATTAAAAACCTGAAATCAAAGACCAAACTGCTGTGCACTGGGGGTCAGAAAGGTATTTTTCATATTATGTACTCTGTAAATACAAAATAAATGCTATGAATTTAGCGCTAAAGCAAAATGTATTCAAACTATATTATATTTATGAACCTGTAACATTTTGTAGCCATCTACTGTAGCTCTTGGTGCAGGAATTGCCAGTGTGTGTTTAAACCATTTTATCTAGCAGTGTGATGCGTTGATATATAATTTGACTTTTTTTTTTCTTCTTTTTTTTTTCAAAATATATAAATGCAGCTGTTTTATCTTTCCCTCGTCTCCTTCTAATCAGGCCTATGACATTTGACCTAACAGACTTGCTCTCTGCTGTACGTTTGAGATTTTGCATTTGTTCTACTAAATAAAGTGTCATGTTGAAATTACCTCTATATTCCTCTGAAGTATTTCCTCCTAGACATTTGGTAGTAGAAGTTCAAACTGATACAGTACAACTATCAAAGATTTTTTTTGAAATTCTTATAAACTCTTTGATTTTTCAGAGCAGTGGTTTAATGTGATATCGTTGGTTTACTGTATGCTTGTTAAAAATAAATATCAGTGGCGATGAGTTGCTAAACAATGCATGTACATACATCGCTATGTGAAATATGTTACACTGCAGCAATAAGGATTTATTCTTTCACAGGTCTTTACGGGTCAATCATTTGGAGACATTAGTGGAAATTAAAGCATAGTTTTGGAAACAAAATGAATTAAATTTTGCTGGTCAATGACAATGACCCGCAGAAGTGAAAATTAAGACACCAGCTTATCCTGGCAAAACACTGCCATCTAGCGGTGGTAGTTCTTCTATTTTCATACCTCTTGAACCATTTCAGTTTGAACTAGTGATGCTCCATCCCGGCTTTTCGTGAGAAACGACGCAGTGGAAACGCCGGAGCTGTCAGTGAACCGGTGCTCGAGTAGGACACCTAGTGGCCAATGAACTGAAGTGCTACTGAAGCTGACACCGAGTCAGTGAAGTCACTTCATTGCAGGTCTTGCAAGGCTTAATAACCACTGCTTTCAAAACATCGATTTTACCAATGGGCAAACACAGCTGCCATGTTTCGCCGTAAACCGGCTCGGGGTCCCGCAAAACGGCGGCAGCAGTCGTAACAGCTCCTCCAGTGGCCACTAGACCCTCCTCCTGTCAGACGGAGGAGCGGTGAGCAGAGCAGCCCGGGACTGAGACGCTCCACTCCGCCGCACTCAGCTCATGCTGTCGGCCTCGCCTCGCCTCGCCGGGATTCATTCACTTTTCACTGGAGAAGCTGCGTCCATAAGAGCCGACAACGTCGCAGCACCTCTGTTCCGCTGGGTGATACAAACTTTCATTATCTAGGAAGAACAATAAGTCAATTTAACAAAGCAACGCAGTTTTACATTAAAGCAAGAAATAGGCTATTGTTTCCCTCTAGAAATTCCCTTTCTTCACTAGCTAACTTTCTAAGAAGTAAAGTAGTGAGAATGAAAGGCAAATAAAGCTGTTTGCAATGCAACTCATTTTAAAAAATGCATTATTTTTAAATTTATTTTATATATGTCCTCTTCTTCCTTCAGCAGTGGTGTCCATACAGTTTGTTTGTTCTGTGAAACAGTAATGCATGAAGCCAATAATAGCTTTATATTTATTGAGCATAAAAAAGCTCAATAAATCCAGCAAAATGTTCAAAAGTTATTGAATAGATGTGATTCAACTACAGTGGTATAGAGAAATGTGTTTATTTAAGTAACTATTGAGCATTTTTGACTTTTTAATTTTTTAAAGTCAGCTATCATGAAGAATCTCACACTGTTTTATCCAAAAAGTTTGTCAGTTCTGCAACGAAATGCCACATTAAAGTTGTTAATGGTGTTATGACAAGAACAGTTAATAATCGGGATGTTTAAATGTCTAAATTCAGCCAACGTAACTTCCTGTGGACATCATTGTCTTTTGACTCTTACAATACTCTTATCAGTGCACACAGAAAAATGGCTCCATGAGGTTTCAGAGACCATATCAGGAGTTCATGTTCACAACAGAGGCTCCCTCAGCAGCAGTTATGCAAGCCCAAGTAGAGTCTGGTTGCAGCTGGGCTGGTGTCAGGGGCTATTAACGTTGACATGCCATTCATCCAGCTAAAAATAAAGACACACACTCATTGGCCCTCTTAAAATGTCATTCCACGCAGCCAGTGGGTGTATGCACCGACCGCCGTAGAAGAGATGCACTTGGAAGTTTGTGAATTTCTTAAAACGCCTTCTCGTTTCAGTCTTCCCGAGTTCTGCCGTCACGCCGGCTCCTCTGAAGCTCCACCCAAACTGATCGCGCTCAAGCCAGCATGTCGTCATCCTACGCGGCTGCCATATCGGCCCTTCTTACAGCCAACCAACCAATCCATCAGCCTTTCTCGGAAACAAAACACAAGAGCGGCAGCGGAAACAGCCCCACGCCCAGCAAGAGCCCCCACTGCCCTCCATCTTTACAGAACCAAGCCGCCCCACCGGAGCTTCTGGCATCTTATGAAGAGCAACAGGAGAATCCTGCAGAATATGGCATTGGTAAGTCAGACCCCAGCAATAAATCCCAGCGTGCCCCGTGACGTCTTCACTTCTGATTTCTATCACCCGCCTTGCTTCCAGGTGGTTATTACCGGGTAGAGATTGGAGAAATATTTGTTGACCGCTACCAAGTCCTTAAAAAGTTGGGATGGGGTCACTTCTCCACCGTGTGGCTCTGCTGGGACATGGTGTGAGTAAACGCTTGACCTTGTAGCTTTGCATTAAGTATAATGACACCTAGCCATCCTAACCGTGTTATCTCTATCATTTGAAGTTTCCAACAATGTTGTCGCACTGCAGCAACCATCGTAGTCTCGTCTCGCGGCTCTGCTTCAAGCCTTTTGCAGCCTCCTACAGTTTCAGCTACGTTTTCCCCATCACAGCTACCCTGCTGCAATGTTCCCGCTGGAGGAAAACATCTCAGCATGTACCATTGTGGAGACGGTGGCTTGACGATCATGTGTTTTTATTTTGGTTTCACGAGGCTGGAGCTCATTTCTGTCACGTTTGCTGAGGCCCCTAATGGGGGACTGGAAGCGAGACTTCAGCAATTAACCACCGACAATTATATGCGACTTTGTATTGTTTTCTATGATATTAAAATCTCATTAAAAAAAACAAAAAAAAAAAAACTGGTTGTAATATGACGATTGTGAAAAATCCCAAAGGAGTATGAATAGTTTTGCCAGGAAGTGCAAGGAACCGTAATGGTCACTGTTGTAATCGCTTTATTTTTTATGTTATTTTTTTGCCTGCAGAACGAAGCACTTTGTGGCTCTGAAGGTGGTGAAGAGCGCTGAGATGTTCACCGAGTCGGCACTGGATGAGATCAAGCTGCTTAAATGCGTCAGTCTGAGTTTCCACTCCGATCCGTCTCTATGCTGCCTTTTGTTTTGTTTTATTTAAAGCGTTATTTAAAATGTATAGCGAAGCAACATTTTGCAGCAGCTTTTATCTTGTCATGTCGTGTTCAGCTTTTGTTGTTTTGGCTTTCTGTTGTTGTTGTGAAAACCAAAAGTTATTTGACTGAACACAAAGTTGTTTTTCTTTGTGCTCCAAGGTAAGGGACAGTGACCCCAAGGATCCGAAGCGGGAGAAAATTGTGCAGCTCATTGACGACTTTCGGATCTCGGCTCCGACCGGAGAGCGTATCTTTTGCAGAACAGAGACGACGCTGCTCCTGAACGGTTTTGCTGCGAGGCGCTGCAAGAGACGCTGACATCACTTTTCTGTGGGGAAAAAATGTAACAAAAAAAAAAACAAACTGTTCCTTAGCCGCACGTCAGACGTGTGCATGGTTCTGGAGGTTCTCGGCCACGAGCTTCTCAAGTGGATCGTCAAATCCAACTACACGGGCCTCCCCCTGCCTTGTGTTAAAAGCATCCTCAGACAGGTGAGCTGCATTTTATGTCCCCGCTGCGTTTCACTTCTGACTCGGATCGCGTCAATTTGTGAATTTTTTGTCGCAGGTCTTGCAGGGTTTAGATTACTTGCACACCACATGCAAAGTCATCCACACAGACATCAAGCCGGAAAACATCCTGCTGAGAGTGGACGAGATTTATCTCAGGAAGCTTGCGGCCAACACGAAGCTGTGGCAGTTGCCCGTTCCTCCTCCTCTCAGCGGCAGCAGCTCAGGTTTGTGCAAATCTTTTGAGTTATTGCTTTGACTCAATAAATTTCAAGGATCAAGGTGTTTTTGTTTTGTTTTTTGGCGTAGCGCCTGTAGAGGGTCGTTCATTCGTCTCATATTCATCCTTCTCTCTTTCTGCCAGCGAACAAAGGCTCGAGAGAAAAGCAGGTGTGTGACTGTAGAACGAACTCTTCTGGAATAATTGTGACTGGATTTACAGCAAACTTTGTCATCACCTTCATCTTTCCTGCTACTCTTTCCTAAGAGTGTGTTCAACCTGTTTGGGAAGCTGACGGGGGTTCTGCAGGCCATGGGCGAATGGGTAAGCCGGCAGACGCCAGGTGCCTCTTGACGTCAACGCTGATGAAGTGCGTTGGAGAAGCATGCGTTATTGTTCTCTAATCCCTCTTCAGCATTGTGTCTGATTAAAAATGACTGTTCCCCCTCCATAAAAACACATATGTATATCTTTATGTATATATATATATAAAAAAGTCTTAAAATATTTCTGTAGCATAAGATTCAGCAAATTCAACCCTTTACCATGTGCCATTTCTTTTAGCCGATGAGTTTTGCGATAATATTTGTCTTTCCACCACAAGCAGCAAGCAGGACTATAAGGGAGGTAAAACGCCAAAAGCCTTTCAGACCCGACCGACTCCCCGTTGGATCAGGCATGCTCAGGGCTTTGTCCTCGGACCCTCCTTCCTCATCACATACTTGCGTCCCCCTGGCAGCATTTCCTGCAAGTTTGCTATCGGTTTTCACTGTTCTGTGGAGCCAAATCCCTCTCAACTTGCCGTCCTGCATTTCCACTCGCCTGCGTGAATTAAAAGTTTTCTAAGGGATTGTTCATTTGCTATAAATGTAAAACCCACATAAGCCTTTCTTTCTCCCCCCCCCTGCTCTAAATAAGTTTGCTGCTACGTGGCAGATAAGTTTTGGAAATCCTAAAAGAAACCAGATAGTTATTTGAAGTCGATTTCCTTTGTCCAAATTAGGAGAAATGTGGAGAAGGCTCAATGTCTGCTTTATGTCAGAACAGACGAGGAAATGTTAGGAGGTTCCTGCAGCAGCTGTTGTTGTGGTTACACTGTACTTTGCTGTTAGCGACGCTCAGTACAGCAGTTCAGATCCAACAGGGTTTTTAGTTCTGAGCGTGTTCTTCCTGCCACGGCATCCCAGTAAAGGAATCGCCGAGTCCGTTGAGTTGGGAACATGTGTGGCGCAGAGTCGACTGAATTCGCATGGTTTGCTTCCAGAACAGACATGAACCCGACAGTTTACCAAACTGCTTTAATCGCACCGTCGACACTCATGTCTGATTGTTTCGACTGCCGTCCCCAGTCCAGCAAGGTGTCCAGGAGTCCACTGAAGCAGCTGTCGCCAAAGAACAAGAGCCGTCGGGGACAGAAGAGTCCGTCTGACCCGAAGCCAGACAAGCCTCACGTGACGTTTTCTGAAGCTGCCGCTTCAAACACGCAGCTCTTCACTAGTACCTCAAAGCTCAGAGGTCATAACCTTAAGATAAGGAGGCAGACTTTGCTGTTTGAAGATGTTCTGGACGGTGCTCCACGCAGCCACAGGAACTCCATGGGTTCCTGCCCAAACTTCAGCATGGACGCTGCGGCCTCCGGCTCCAGATCTGCGCCGTTCCCCCAGACGTCGCACACCGAGCCCGTCGCACCTCCGGCTTCCTCAGCTGGAGGTCAGTATTACTGTTTACACTTGTTTTAAAAACATAGAAATCACTTAAAAGAAGCCTCAGCTTGGTTACTGTATTTTAATGGTCTGGATTCTTATGTCTTCGACCGAGCCATTGAAGTTTCTTTAAATATTTTCACTGCGTTTCAGGAATCGGTGACACGGATGTTCCTCTGGACGTGCTGAAGCCTCACAACGCCGACAAAATTGCCGTCAAGATTGCAGATCTGGGCAACGCCTGCTGGGTGGTGAGTGATTTCTGACCCTGATATTTCAATCTTGAATGAAGATAGTAAGATGACCCCAGTGAACGTCAGACCATAAACTACTAAAAAAAAAAAGAAATGAAAAGGGTTTAAACCTTACAAATGCAGAAAGCCGTCCATTAAAAAACGAGGCAGAAATGAATCAATTTAACAAGAAAACCAACAAACCTTCAAGTCCTGGTTCTGAGCTCCGACCCGGTCAAAAAAAGCCTGGCCCGTTATGTCCGCTCAGGTAGACGTGTGCTGCAGATTGCGGGGTCGTATTTTCAGTTCTTCTCTGTTTTCAGCACAAGCACTTCAGCGAAGACATCCAGACGTGCCAGTATCGCTCCATAGAGGTTCTGATCGGCGCGGACTACGACACGCCAGCTGACATCTGGAGCACCGCCTGCATGGTGAGCGAGACGACGGCCGGAAAATGATTCCCACCGTCGGAACGATTGCTTTGCTATTGTCTCCTTTGTCCTCCGAAGGCCTTTGAGCTGGCGACGGGAGACTACCTGTTCGACCCCCAGGCAGGAGCCGCGTTCTGCCGGGAGGAAGGTGTGTGTTCAGGTGCTTCACCACCGCTGCGTTTGGGATAAATTAAACAGGATGTTCTCTCGGCCGTAGATCATATCGCCCACATCATCGAGCTGCTCGGACCTCTGCCGTCCCAGTTTGCTCTTTCTGGGAGAAAATCCAAACAGTACTTCAACAGGAAAGGTAAAGTGTTTAAAAATAGGCATTTCTTTGTGCCGAATCTCTTTTTCTCTTTTGGCAAATTTGAGTTTTAATATAACACATTTTGAAGACACACGTAACTTATCTTGTAAAGCACAAGGAAACACACGAGAGACACTGACGATATTTGAATTGGTTCATTAAATGTGGCAGGAGCAAAATGACAAAACAATCAGAGTGTTCACTTGTTAGCATCTTCTGTTAGCGACAAACAGATTTAGTATGGCTACAAACTGACACCCATGTGCTCTTCAAAGAAAATATTGACGCATGTCTGAGACGTATAGAAACACTTACATTTATCCTCAATTCTTGGGCAGTTTCTGCTTTTTTGTATCTCCTTTCATCACGCTGTTATTGATCGATTTATTAGTCTGAGTACTAATAGGTTCGTCGTTGATTGTTTTTAGTGATTGAATCTAATCTGATCATTCAGCCTCTACCTGAAAGAAGTGGTAACACTGAGATGTTCTTACATTTTAATGCATTCATATATTTTTGTGGTCAGTTTACTGATGCAGCTTCTGATCCAATGTTTCTACGGCTTATGACTTTGCCACTGCCCTCTGCTTCGCATGTAAACCTCAGTGAGACATTACCCTCCCTCGGTTCGCTACACTATGTTGATGCTAATCTGAACTCTGGGATTTCTGGAAGCTGCCAGCATTTCAGCGTGCAGCAGGCTGTGTTTGTTTCAAAGGTCAAGGGGATAAAGCGGCGGCCTCTGCTTCACGCTGTTCAGCCCTTTGCGTTGTCTGCAGGAAAGAATCGCTCAGCAGACCCAGACGTCTCTGGAGATGGAAAACACATATTTGTTTTGAGTAGTCTTTGCATCTCAGCGCTCTGATTAACATGACCTGATAAAGTCAGCCTGCTCTCCAACACAATCTTTTGAGTTCCCAACTGACCAATCATGAGCCAGAGCTTAAAATTGACTTATTTCTCCCAACAGCCGTTTTTTTTCCTATTTTTGTACAATGCCGCTGTTAGAAGCCCGATTCCCACACAGATTTGTAAAATACATGAAACGTGTGCGATCTAATTATTCTTGCTTCTGAGGTCCCGGACCATGTCGAACGGTTTATGATATGAATGATTGCAAAGTCAAGCTGGTCTGAGCAGCCAGACGTCCCTCTCCCCCTCTCTCCAGGGCAGCTGCGGCACATCTCCAAACTGAAACCGTGGAGCTTGTTGGAGATCCTGCTGGACAAGTACGAGTGGCCGCGAGAGGAAGCGCTCCAGTTCAGTTCCTTTCTCCTCACCATGTTGGAACTGCAGCCACAGAAAAGAGCCACAGCCGCCCAGTGTTTGAAACACCCCTGGGTTTCCTCCTAGAGACGCTCAGCAGCGCCACGGAGCCGGGGCCGTCGTTGTGCAGGAGTCGGTTTCTGACAAGAGCTCGGAAGTTTTTTAAATTCATCTCAGAAGATTTTCTAGATAAAAAAACAAGGACATTTCTGAGATGGGAAAGTCCAATGTTTACTGGGACAGAAAGCAAATCAGAAATGTTGAGCTAAATAGTTTATAGAAGGACTTGCACTTCTGAGTTTCAAAAGTCAAATTTGATGATGTTTCTGAGATTATTCTCAAAATTTGATATTCATAATTTTTATCTTTTTTTTAGTTTTGCACCCCAGAAATTTCTTTCTTAGAGAATTTCTGAGATTATTCAAAAAATTTCTGGCTTTTTTTTTTTTTTTTTTTACATTATTTTGGGTGGAAATGCCCTACTTTTTTTTTCTATGCACAGTGGCCCGGATACGCTGTCGGACACAGGAGACGATGTCTGGTAAAAGGGGACTCTGCCTGCAGCGGTGGTTTGCTGCTGGCATCAGTAAAAACACTGACTTCCTTTTTCTCACATTTGCTATTTAACACGTTTGATGCCACAGAGATGAGCGTCTCCGCTGCTGCTTCCGCTTTGTGTTTGATTCTCCGTTCTTCTTGGTATCTTACATTTTAACATGACTATAAAAGACTGAGAATGCTGGGAAGTACTGTTTATAAAATCTTAGATTCTTTTTTTTTTTTACAATAAAAATGTGCAAGAACAACTCTGCTCCGCTTATTGGTGGCATCCTTCACTTCAAGCCAAAAACCTAGAAGAGGAAAGCGGTTGTGTCCACTCCCAGGAATCCTCACGTGAGACTAAAAATAACAAAAGCTGCGACAGACAGACGCTTCTTGTTTTGTGCGCCTGCGGAGCGCAGCGGTTTCCAGCAGGCTGCACATTCCTCGCATGAGCTGAGAAGGAGGAGGGAGGGAGGGAGGGAGGAGTTAGCGTCATGTAAACTCAGGCATATGTCCCGCTTTCAAAACACATTTTCCTGGAGCAGCGAGGACGGAGGAACTCCACCTGATCACAGGGGGGGTAAAGTATCTCGTGTTGGATTGTGAGGAAGGCTGGATTCCTGCCTCCTGCACTTAGAAATGTGTTCATTTGTTGAAGATTAACTTCATTTTTAATCTCTTGCCAGTAGGAAGTGTGGTCAAACAGGTTTGCTGTCTTCGTGTGTGTGTGTGTTCTTGTTTTTTTTTTTTATTACTGCAGCTATAATTTAAGCATTGCAACAAGGTTGATTGTCAAAAAGGAACAATTGGTTCCTAGTCATTCCTAGGGATGACTAGGAAAATCATCTTTTTTGTTCGGCATTTTAGTACGTTGAGGAGAAAGCCTGAGCAAAAGGTCAAAGTCTCAGTTTTGTGCCTTCGCTCTTAACCTCCAGCCAGTTGCCATGCGACTCAAACTCTAAATCAAAAGGGATTAGCTCAGCCACAACAGAGCTTTCACAGCTGCATTATTACTCCAAGGTAGTCCTATTTTTCTCTCTCTCTCTCTGCTGCTCTCCTCACTGCTTTTCCAGAGAATGAGTTCTGTTTAAGATTCAAACTGTGCTCTTCTTCGCTCTATTTCTTCTTTTCCCTCCCTGCTTCATCTGCACACAGGCTGCAGATAAACAGCTTCTAAGTGGGAAAGCAGCTGGTTGTTTCACAATATTGCAGTTTATTTTAGGTGCATTCTTCACAGTGATATATATGTATTGTGTGTGTATGTGTGTGTGTGTTCGTTCAGATTGGATGTGGCAGCAAGAGCAGCTCCTGTATTGCACCCTGCATAGTAAACACCCATATCATTATCTAAACACAAAGGGACAGGTAGGAGACACCGGAGTCCCTTGATCTTTCCTCTCGCAGATTTTCCTGCTCTCTCTCCATTTGTCACCATCTCTCTCAACATTGCAGCGCTGCACACAGTAACAGCACAGTTTTCTTTCTTTTCTTTCTCGGAGGATGTGGCTGACTCTCCTGTACGGCTGCGCCGGCGGTGCCGCTCTGCTCTACGCGCTCTACAGATGGGTGATCCCTGCTGTCGTGCAGCACCACGCGGGGCTGGCGCTCATTTGGCACGACACCATCGTGGAGGGACTGCTGAACGCGCTGACCCAGACCACGCGTCCTCAGGTGAGCCTTTGCCGAACGCTCGCCGGACACGACAAACGTGGATATGTAGATGTGACTTTTATGAGCTTCACATCGCGTTACAATGTCATTCCCCCGTCAAAGACGTACCTGGAGTGTTTCTTTCAGTCTTTCATGCGTGTTTGAGAAATCCTCCGATCTCCTGTTCCTCTCGGGTTCGTTGAAACTCTTGCAGGGAACCCGAGCGTTCCCGAGCTTCTCTGTGACTCGTGCTCCTTCAGACTAGCAGCAGCAGCAACAAGCACCCAGGTGGTGGAACTGTGTATTCGCTGAGCTCATTATGCGAAGTGTTTCTCGGTGCAGTGCTCCGACGAACGTTCACCAAACGTTCACAGAGTTGCAGAAAGAGCAGGAGCTTCTTAAAGAGACAGAGCTCCAGTTACAAGGCGTTAAACTCCAAAGTCACATTTCTTTAAAGTCGTTTAAGTTTTAAAACAACAGGATGTGCTTTTTCGAGGCACACCACAGATCGCAATGGCAGCATGATGCATGCAATTGATGTTGGCCTTTTGGATGCTGCAAAATGATCGCTGCCTCTTCGTTTGGGTTGGCTTTCTCGTAGTCGAGAGGGAACTTGTTGGAAACGATGCGGGGGAAGCTAAAAGCTCTTTCCAGCCCGTCGTGGTGACATGATCCGTACCGTTAAGGGGGTTGAGCCGCAGCAGGACAGATGCATGCTGGGACTCCCTCCTGTCGGCTAAGAAAACAATTCTTGCGCTCAGCACAACTGCGGAGATCCGCCGACCTCAGCAGATTCGTCGTCTGAGCCTTCTTAAGACTCACAACTTGGCATCAGAGACGTGAAACGTGAAAGAAAGACGGCTGATTTTGAAACGATTTGAATCAAATGCAGAAAAACCAGAGAAATTTGTTGTCATGATATCTGTTTCTTCTTCAACATTTATTTAACCAGAAAAAAACAAAACAAAACAAAAAAACATGTTGCTGTGATTTTACCTTTATAGTCACTGATTATCTTGTAAAAGCTTTTTTACATTTTTGTGTCAGAGATCTTTGATCTTCATGAGTTGTTTTTTTTTCCCGGTTAAATAAAATTTGAAGACGAAGAAAAATTCAGTGATGAAATAAATGTGCTCTTATCTTTTAAAAAAGTCCGAGTTTAATTTCACACAAGCACAAACCGACAAAAACAGATGACTCGTGTCATCTGGACAAGACACTGAAACACTGCGGAATAGATTGGCAATTATTTTCAATGTAATATAATTTTCTTGTTTGTTTGTTTGTTTTTTAAGCGTTCCTACTTCTTAGAAACTGGTATGGATTAGACTAGGTGATGTGGCAACCAGTTGCTTGACATATTGCACACGTTGCTCCTGGGCTCAGTTTCAAATTGTCGTTTGTATTATAGCTGCATTTGCAAATAAGAAAAGGTTAATTAAATGTGATGAAAAATGACAAAATAGTTTGTTCTTTACTTTCTGGGAGGTTATTGACAGAACTGAAAGTGATCCTGTTTCTTTTTCTCTTTGCTTTTTCTTTGCTCCCTGCAGCGGATGTTGGCTGCAGTGCAGAAGAACGCCACTAGAGGGGACCCTCGCAGCGTGGTGAAGGCCATCGATCAGTTCTGCAGACAGAAGGAATGGGCCATGAATGTGGGAGATGAGAAAGGTGGCGGCTTTTTTTTTATTTATTTTCTTAAAGTTCATAACTCTGTTCTTTTCCGATACGTTTCCATTTGCCCTTCGACCCCCAGGGTGCATCCTGGACTCCGTGGTGACCGAAGTGAACCCGGCGACGGTGCTGGAGCTGGGAACCTACTGCGGCTACTCCACCGTGCGCATCGCCAGCCTGCTGCCGCCTCACGCCAAGCTCATCACCCTGGAATTCAACCCGCACAACGCCGCCGTCGCTCGCCAGGTGATCGCTTGGGCAGGACTGGGAGACAAGGTGAAAGCCCGACGTCTGAAGCGAACTACTAGAACCTGAGGGCAGAAGAGGGGCGGGGAAATATCCACTTCTGGGTGACATAGCTGAGTGTTTTCTTCTCTCTAGATCCAGTTAGTGGAAGGAGCATCTGGTGACTGGATCCCCAGAATGAAGGAGAAGTTTGGGATAGAAACGTTTGATTTGGTTTTCTTGGATCACTGGAAAGACCGCTACCTTCCCGACACCAAGCTGATGGAGGTGCGTTTGTTGTGACACACTGGATCGAACTGTTCCCTGCTCCTTCTGCCATGACACAGGTTCTGTTTCGAAAACAGGAGTGCAGCCTCCTCAGGAAAGGCAGCGTCCTGTTGGCAGACAACGTCATCTGCCCCGGAACGCCCGACTACCTGGAGTACATCCGCAACAGCCCCCGGTACAGAAGCCAGTACTTCGGATCTCACCTGGAGTACACCAAGGTGGAAGACGGTTTGGAGAAATCCGTTTTCTTAGGGTAGATCTTCAACAAAAGAGCCTCAGGCACACATTTCAGAATCATCCAGATTTGTCTCTTTTTCTAATGTAATGAAGATGTGGACTTGAAAATAAAAGTAACATGAAATACAAACGTGACGTTGCGTTCTTCTTTACACTATTGCTCAAAATGCCTTGACGTTTTCACATCTTGTCGTGTCTTCATTGCAGTTTTCATCAGAAGTTTGTTGGGATTTTTGTTTCAACATGACAGAACAATCTTTTTTTTTTTCCACAAGCCATTTGGGAAAGAAGAAAGACGTTGCCTTAGAAAATGGCAAAATGGAGATATATTTTTTTTGTGTCAATATGCAAAATACTTCATCAGCAGAGAACTGATGTTAGTTTTTCACCTGGAGGGGGCAGCATCATGTTGCGCGGCTGGTGGGGGATTTCTTTTTCTCTTTCATCAAATCTGCTTAAAATTAATTCAGAGCAATTTGATGTGAATTCTCTGAATTGTCAAACATTTCAAAAATCCTGTTTGAAAACAATTTTAAAAAGCGTCTATTTATCTTCCTCATTTATTTCACGCTGCATGGAGCCTTGGCGTCTCCTGGGCCGATAGGGCAGTAGCCCAGGGCACCAAGTTTTACTTTTCTTCGGGGGTGGAGGGGCTGATTTATGTACCTTACATAAAAGAAGTTTTAATATTGTAAAAAAAAAATGCCAATCTGGACTCAAATATTCAAAAATTCTGAAGTTCAGATACATGTTTTTGGGACGTGTAGCCATCTCACACGGGATGTGTGTCTATCTGTTAATGTACTGCAGTTTGGATGAGTAAAACGCTTTTTGTTTGTTTGTATGTTTATTTGTTTGTTTGGGTAGGGCAGCAAAATTGACGCTCCCCTTGTCGGATCCGGCTCCGGGTCAGTGAAACATATAGACTTTTCTTACTGTAACTTGTCAAAATGTAAAGAAAAGAAAAGAAAAATCAACTGGGTACGAACATTTTTACGAGCCTGAACACTTGATCCTGTAAGTTGTGTATCTGTCCAGTGCTGCGGCGGCGATCCTTTATCTGAGCTCCTAATTGACAGATGAGCTGCGAACTGATCTGGGAGCTGCTTTTTTTGTTTGTTTCCAGAGCATCGACTCAAATCAATCAGAAACCTAATCTAGCTATGTTCTGCAGCACACAAACCTGTTCTGTGCTCTAATATTCTCTGCCACTGTGTGTGTGGGTGTGTGTGTTGACGGGGTGGTGATAGTGAGTGGATGTGGTGTGTGTGTGTGCGTGTGCATGTGTGTGTGTTTGTGAAAGAGAGGGAGAACAAGAGAGAGAGCAAATTGCTGCTCATCTAATCTCTAAAAGTGATGGAGTGGGAGGAGGTTTTTTTTTTGCTGCAGCTGCATGAGAGAGAGAGAGAAAAGTGAGCTTGTCCACCTAGTGCTTCCTTCACAGACGGCTGCATGATAATCCCAATCTGAGGCCATTAGTGCTCTGAGAGAGACAGAGAGAGAGAGGCAGGGAGGAGTGACTGCTCCGGTCAGAGACGCGCACGGCTGAAAAAAGGACGGCAGAACGGGAGGAGAGCTTTTAAGGGATTTAGGGAAGATTCTCATGCCGTAATGTTGCTCTTCCCTCTGCTCCAAAACCCTCGATGGCCTCTTCTTCATTTAGCCTTTTGTAAAATATGACATCAGTCTTTTTGTTTTTTTTCTTCAAATATCTTCTAACTTGTTTTGTGTTTAGTTTTTTTTTTTCTTTTTTAATCGTGCAGAGCAGGCAGTCTGAGATGACAGAGCCTCGGGTTTGACGCGCGGTCCGTTGAATCTGGACCGAGGTCAGAGGCCCGTCTGGACAATCTCCTGCGATGGATGGATGGATGAATGAATGAAGAGCGATCCATGAAGAATGGGCAGGCGAGTGATGGCTTTACTTCATACAAGTTGTTTGTGAGGGGGTAGTTTTTTTAAAAAAAAAGAAAAAAGAGAAAAAGTAATTTGTCTCACTTACTCCATCATTTTAAACTGATTTCAATCTATTAAATTTAAATTATAAATGTCATCTATTGGACTCTGGGTGGTAAAAGCAGTATTAAATATAAAAAAAAATCATGCAAAAATATAAATTAAAAAAAACTAGCTTTGTTAGAAGTTAAATCTGGACAGATTAAATGACTTCAAATGTCCTTGGAGTGAAAAATATCAAGTGAAAAAGTCCAGGCAGCTGTGGATGTGTCTCTCTCTTTCTTGCTCCTCTCATGCAGATACAGTCGACCTGGTTGGTGGTTTGCCCCGTCAGTTTTTTGCGATGTTTTCTGGTTTTGCAAAATTTATAATGTTTTCCATCATCGGCTCTAAGCCCTTCACCGTAAAAGCTTCCAGCTTTCACTCCGTGTCATCCTGTGGGTTGTTTACAAAACTCCTCATCCTCTGGTTCTTTTTTTTGCTTTTTTTTCCCCCATCTTTACTTGTTGTGGCCTCCTTTCTGAGTTTTGTTTAAGTTGCACAGTGAAGCAAAAACAGAGAAAAAAAACCCCAACCAAACACTACTTCCTGAAACAATACGACTGCAAGCAGCTGGATCAGGGCCGTCAAAGTCATTTTGTTGTTGTTTTGAGCCAAATCAATGCTCTTAAAGGGCCGGTTGTGGCAGAATGCATTGATGAAACCCGTTCACCAACTGTTAAAATATCAATTAATTCTTGAAAGTAAATATTATTGAACATCGATTCAATTCCTCCAGAATTTTGTGATTATTTTTGTGTTTTTGTGCAATAAAAATCAAAGTGTTTGTGGTACTAATTTGGAAATATTTGCAGATATTGGCGCTTATTGATGATGGTGAGTTTGACTTTTTATTACTGGCTCTATAGAGCATTGTGATCTGACATTAATTAAGGCTGAGGCAGCTATTTAGTACAAGTAAGAACATTTTTGAACATCGTTGCACATTAGAAAAATGTGCTAATCTGTTGATTTCCTTGATAATTCTCAAGAAGCTGAAGGGACTGATTGATATAATTTGGCAGCAAATACATAAAAACTGCATCGATTTGACTTGAAACAGAAAATTTAAGCAAACTCAGTGTTTAGTCTAGAATCTAGAAGGCCACTTAAAAAGCTGCGGCGGGCCGGATTTGGCCCGTGGGCCTCGAGTTTGACACGTGACCCAAATTCAGCAGTGACAGTGCTCTGTTTCTGTAGCTGAAATATGTCAACGGTGATATTTCAAGTTTTTTTTTCTCCGAAAATTGAACATTTTCTTGCAATTTGTGCAACGATTAAAGCCTGAAATTCTCCTGGCTTTCGACCGTCTTTTGACTTCTCTCTTCCTGGCAGCATCAGAGTGAAGTCGAGGTGCGATCCAGAACTCAAAACCCTGGATCAGCTTCAGAGGTTTCTCAGTTTTGCTTTCTTTACGTCGCCGCCTGCCTGAAATGCGGACGTTTGCTCGACTCGCCGTGGGAAGAGCTTTCTGAAAGCTGCGCGTTTCTTCCTGCATCCGTCCTTCTTTCTCTCTGTGCTGACTAACGTTTGAGTCCTGGCTGCAAAAATCAGAGTGACGCTTTAGTCACCATCTTGTTTACATCTCTTCTTCGACAAATTGCTCAGCTTACGTTTATTGAAACAAAAAGAAAAGAAAGGAAAAAAGCCGACTGATTATTAAGGTCACGATCGCATCACGTTTCCTGTGAACCTGAACTCTCCGTCCTACGACCCTAAAGATGCAGAAGGCGCCGCAACGCAACACTTTAGATTGAAATGCAGCCACGTGTTGGACCGGCCTAGTCAAATTCCAGACCGAGAGTCGGTGGCAAAACTTGACAATCGATGCTCTTCATGCAATCTGACTGAGCCTTTTTTTTTTTTTTTTTTTTTTTTTTTTGCTGTTGCTGCGCAAAACAAAACAAAGGGCAAAAGGTCAAGTGTCTAGTGTGTAAAGTCTGCTCCGGTTTTTATTTGCAAAACATCAAATTGATACACCAGTCCTGTTTTGTGTGTCGTGTAAAACCCATGGAAAGTTGGTGTAAGTGTGGAAAACGTGAAGGAGGATGAGGATCCCTGACTCGATGTTCAGCAGTGGAAAAAAATGAAGAGACCTCAGAAAACCTCCTGCTTATTCCACCAAATGTTGATTTGTGAGTTAAAACATTAGTGTTGTTGTTTCTAAATGAACATGAACTCGTTTTCTTTGTGTTATCGGAGGACTGGGAGCGCTGCTTGTTTCTCACTGCCTACAAATAAATACTAGACTTTTGCTAGGAATTTCAGAGACGTGTTGTCAGTAGTTCATAGGATAAAAGAACAATGTTAGTCAAACATTTACCTACAAAGAGTAAAATCAGAGAAACTGATCATTTTAAGTGGTCTTAATTTTGTTTTTGTCCAGAGCTGTAGATCTATGAGGTCAAGAAAGAATAATAAAAAAAAACTGAAGTTTTATTTAACCAGGTAAGTCGATTGAGAACAAATTCTCATTTTCAACGACGATTCCTTCAGAAAACATTAAAACGTCACACAAAAGAATATCATACAAGTTTTTCTGTATATCATGTTGTCTGAAAACAGAAGAATATTATAGAACAGAGAGACATAAAACACGACATTCATTGCCCTGACTGCTCCTGCTTTCTGCCCCCCGGGGTGCCACAGGTAGACGGAGTGGCCCGGTGCTGCCAGTACCTCTGCTGGACATCATCATGACGCCAGAGGCCCGTCCATCCTGTCTCCTCTGCGGTTCTACTTTGCTGTTTGCGTCCCGTCCATGGCTTCGTGCGCTTTGGCTCCTGCTGGCGGGCTTCAGCCCCCTCTCGCTGGGCACCCAACCCCAGTCCAGCCTCAAAATCGAGGGCGACATCACCCTGGGCGGGCTCTTCCCGGTGCACTCCCGGGGGCCCGCCGGCGTGCCCTGCGGCGAGATCAAGAGGGAGAAGGGGATCCATCGGCTGGAAGCCATGCTGTACGCCTTGGACCAGATCAACAGCGACCCTGACCTGCTGCCTAACATCACCCTGGGGGCCCGCATCCTCGACACCTGCTCCAGGGACACCTACGCCCTGGAGCAGTCGCTCACCTTCGTACAGGCCCTCATCCAGAAGGACAACTCGGGGGTCCGCTGCTCCAACGGGGAGCCCCCCATCATCCCCAAACCAGAGAGGGTGGTGGGAGTGATCGGAGCGTCGGGCAGCTCCGTGTCCATCATGGTGGCCAACGTGCTCCGACTGTTTGCGGTGAGGTTTTACTTCCTTTTGCTGATGAAGGCAAACGGCTGAGTGGCCTGAGTGTCCTCCTTCTGACCCGCAAAGATGGAGGCGATAAACCGCACTGGTCAACAGCTGCAACAAATGTCTGGGGTTTTTCAACCGTTTCAGGGTCATTTTGATGAGCTGAATCCAAAAGTCACGCTGGTTTTGCTCAATCAGGTCAACTTCCTGAACTATGGAGCAACACCAGCACCAAATGCATGACTTGTTTTCACACATGGATCCTGAGAATCTGGATCAGTGAGGAGAGCAGGAGGAGAGACTATCAGGACAGAAAGGAGACGGAGAATTTCACACAATGAAGACGAAATGCTGAGTTTATATGTAAATTCCTTTATTAATGTTTATCATTCAATTTACAGAAATCTAAGTTTGTAATATTTAATTAATACACTCAGTTAGAAAAACCATTTTGTTCCCCTAAAACTTCTTTTGGATGAGAAATATTAACTGAAATGAACTGATAAAGTCACAAATTTAGTCAGGAGATCAGATTTCTCTTAATCAAATAAGAATAAGACCTGATAGAGAAAGAGCAATGTCACTTCAGGATTCAGCGGTGCAAAATAATCCTAATTCACTCAAAAAAACACACAACTTCCAAAAAAACACCTTTTGTAACCTGGTGCTGGTTCTGAAAGTCCAGTGAGTCAGGAGTGACATGTCGATACTGCAGACGGGTCCAGAGTTTGTGACAGAAATGAAGTGGAAGTTTTAGTTGGTATTTCTGAATATCTTAGCAAAGCAAAAAAATAAGAATAAATAAATAAATGAATGAAACATTGAAAAAGTTTTCCACTTTATAAACACTCTGAAGCAACAATTGTTGGGTCGTTTTCCAAGTTTTCAGTTTATCTTCAGATTTAATGGGTTGACTGATGACCAGCTCTTTTCCAGCTGCGCTTATTTCCTATAGTCTCCGTCTCTTGGTTTTGGTTCAGCTCACCAGTTTAGCGCCAGGTTTGTTTTGGTTGTTGTTGTTTTAGTCATAAAACCCAACATCTGACTGAAAGGTCAAATGGTTTTCGTTTCTCTTCCTCTTCTGATTGTGTGTTTGCTCAGATCTCACGATTTTTGGTTTATTCCTTTATATCAGTTTATTCATCCTCATCATTTCTGCTTCAATTAGTTTAACGTTGAATGTTTTTTTTTTAGTTTCAGAATTGCTTTGACTCGCCTCCCCAGCTGTTTCTCATGTCCTCATGTGCCTCTGCCTGCTCCCTTCCTCAGCTGCGTCCACTCACCTGTGATTAGCTCTTCCGGCGCCTTTCTCCCTCCGTATTGATGCTGCCCTGCCTCTTTCACTCACTGCTGGATCCTGTTACGGTGCAGCACTGTAGCACAAAATGAAAGATCAGTGAACTTTTATGTTCTCAGTCCCCTTTAATATAATACCCTTAAATAAAATCCAGGGTAACTGGCTTCATAAGCTGCATACTGAACTGAATTTAATCTCGGTGTGAATCCAGAGGTGTTTTTCAGGAGAGCGTCAGTCTACAGCTGCTGTGAGAAAATGTGCTGAAAAGATAAATATCAGTCGAACGTTTCACAAATCTGATCACCACTCTGTTTCCTCAGACCTCATTCACCGCAGCGTGACAAAATGCCACTGAAATTTAAACAGCAACACATTTTTATCTCGTTCTCTCCGTGCGACATCAGCTGGTTCTGGGAAATGTTCAGTTGTCCGACAAAAAAACCAAAGCAGCAGTTTTGTACGTGCCTGAACGTCATTATTATTATTATTATTATTATTATTATTATTATTATTATTATTATTATTATTATTATTATTATTATTATTATTACTGTTATTGTACATTTTTGTGCAGTGACTGCAAACAAGGTTTCCCGCCTTGACAAAAGTCCACTTAACACTAGTTTGCTACTATAAAATAGCTGCTAAAGGCAGGATGAGCAGAATAAAGAAACAGCCAAGAGGCCCAACTGGATCAGCTGCAGAAACCTGCAGGTCAGATTTAAGAATCTATCAATGGGATGACCTTCAGCCCCTGCACTCTGCGAACCTGACCTTTTATGGAAGATCGGCAAGAAAAAAAACCTGCTGTTAGGAAAAAATAAATAAAATAAAAATGGTAGGGGACACGGCCGATGTTTGGCAGGAAATGCTCTTGGTAGACGAACGCCAAACGTTTTCAGAAACCCACAGATCTGGTCAGATCCTGGTCGAGGTGGGCAGCGACCCTAACATGCACCGACTTTGATCAAAACACATTCGTGTGTTAAAATGTGGGCCACAAAAGTATAAAGGCTTTGCAATAATTAACCCGTTTCACTGTTTATTTATAGAAGAATCAACGACTCTAATGCCAGTTAATTACAAATGCATAATCTGTCATTTTGCACCTCGGGAAACACAGATATTCGCTGTGTCACCGACGTGGCTCATCGATTGTACCACCCAGATTAGAGCGGATGCCTCAGTGGGATTCGTTTGGAGGGGATTACGCGTTGTCTCGCTCTTTAGCGATTTGTGTGCAAACATTTGGATCTGCTCTGTGGTCCTGGCGCAGACTCTTCATAAAAGAGGTTTCCGCTTAGGAGGAGTGGGGGGAGTGGGGGTGGGGGTTGGGGGGCTAAAAAAAACACCCCACCCATAAACAAAACGCCATTGCTTGAAATATCAGGCAGGAAATTAGGAGTTTGGGAGGAGTTTCAAAACAGCTGCTACACTGAGCTCCATCCAACAACATTTATTGTATGGCTTACAGCTGAGAAATGCTAACCTTTTTCTCGTCTCTTGATCGCCGTCTCTCCCTCTGTGCTTAACATAATTTGCTTAAAACCCCTATAATCCTTCCAGATAATCTGTGAAATGGTTCTCGCCCCTCTCTCCTTCTCCCTTCCCCAGCCCCTGTGTCTACCTCGCCTCGCCGTTAAGCCACGCTGAAGCCCTGGATGGCATTAGCAGGTTCAGGGTTAAGGCTGCCGACATGCACTGGCGTCATTAAAAGAAGTAGCACACTAGTAAATTAATCTCCATATCCATTTTTTTTTTTTGGACGCAGAAACAAATGCTTTTAGCTTGTTGCATCTGAATTTCTATGTCAGCCACTAAGAGTTAAATCTAGACCAAATGTTTTTTTGTTTTTTTTTAATGCTCAACATCCAGACAGGATAAATATAGACGGCCTTCGCTTAGACTTTGTGTTTCTGTGAGTAAGTGGTGCATCATCCTCTGACATGGCTCAGTGCGTCCTCGTCATTTCTTTTTTTTTTTTACCTTTTTCTTATTAGTGTTATCATTATTCACGCATCGGCCTAATAATCAGCTCCGCTCGCATTTCCCACTCGACCTGACCCCTCTGCTCACAGATTGACCCCCGTGTCCCCGTGTGTGTGCCTCAGATCCCCCAGATCAGCTACGCCTCCACCGCCCCGGAGCTGAGCGACAACAGCCGCTACGAGTTCTTCTCGCGTGTGGTGCCGCCGGACTCCTACCAGGCCCAGGCCATGCTGGACATCGTCAAGGCCATGGGATGGAACTACGTCTCCACGCTGGCCTCCGAGGGCAACTACGGGGAGAGCGGCGTGGACGCCTTCGTGCAGATATCCAGGGAAGCAGGTCGGGTTCGCCGCCCGGGAGCCTGTAAATTTGCTTCTGCAACGAGGGGATTACTCACCGAGCTGCGCCGCTCCCGCTTATTAAACCACTGGAATACGAAAGGGCAATCCTTGAATACTCAACGATGAACAATTGCAGCTCATGGTCACATAGGTCTACCGTTAATGTGTTGATTCAATACCATTAAAAGAGTCATACATCAGTGACCACGGAGGCCACGCTGCCACTTTGACGTTTGTAGCGATTTTGACAAATAAACCGCTGGTAAAGACTTGCACAAGGGCTTAAAATGAATTCACTTTTCTATTGCAGGAATATCATCCTAAAAATTCCTAATTGAGCTGAGGCACTGCTTTTAATCCTTTTTGGTCAGTCAGGTGTACTTTCTGAGGTCCATGCAGACTCATTATTGGGGCCTTCTCGAAGGGGCTGGAGCGTCTTTCTATGAAATGGTGGCGGTGGGAGCAGAAGGGCGCTTAATCAGTTATTGATCATGTAATTTGCACAAGCAACAGCTGTTGCTAGTAAATTCGGAAAAGGCTGACGAGGAATCATTTTTCCGACATTATTCTGGCGCCCCGTCTAACCCGGCACCCCGCACGTCACGTTAGATAAAATAATAATAAAAAAAATCCCTGGTGGTCATAAAGCAGCAAACAGATCGGCATTCATAATGATCCAAAACATTTGGCCAAGTCACAGAAACAGCAGCGATTGTGCCGCAGGCAATTTACATAAAGGCAGTTATTCCTCAAAAGTTAGATTTTTTACCCGTTGACGGATAACTTAACTGGGATGAAAGATCTTTTTTTTTTTCATGACTGCTCACACATCTGCACCAAATGGCTTGCATGGGAATATGAACAGTGTGCGGTGCAAACTGAGCAGACGGTCATGATTTCTTGTCGGGGAATCGTAACGAGTCAGACATTAACACCAGATCTGGAGCTAACAGCTGTGTTTTTACACCAGAAAGCCAGAAGGAGTCGTGTACATTCCCTGCCGCCACACTTGATGGTACTTAGTGCTGCTACACAAAAAAGCTAGCGTGCCAAATTAGGCTCCTTAACAGTGTACTTGCTAAACAGCAGTGTGCTAGCAGAAGTCTCAGAGCCCCTTGCGTGACCCTACATTCTTGAATCTTTCATGACTACACTACTAAGAACTTATCATGCCTAAACCGGATCAGCAACTAAACCACGAACACCTCCTGTCAACATTTGACAGCATGCATGTAGCCTTGCTGAACTGTTTGTACATATTGATTTTTCTAGACAACTGTTGGTTGTGCACTTCACAGAGTTGGTGTTTCACAGAAGTGTGGCAAGACGAAAACTTCCTGAAGGCTTCTTGACAGCCGATCTCTTACCGCCTATGAAATAGTCCTGCTTGCAGTTGGTGGAGGACACAACAAGCATGTGGAACAAGATGCTTTTGTTGACGTTCATTTCTGCTCAAAAACCAATGAGAATGAAACAAAACATTGGTTCTGATAGCTCCCAACCCACCCAATAAATGAAATCATCATTTAATAGCTGGATTCTCGTCATTTGACATTCAAAATTAGTTTGATGACCTGAACCATTGAAAGGAGTAGTACTGTGTGAAATCAACTTTTTTGAGTCTTACATAACGTTATGATGATATTCCTTCATCATACCTGGAGAGTTGCCTTGACTCTTTTATGCGTGTTGAGAAATCCTATAATCTCTGACGGCAAAACGCTTGGGTGGCCCTAGCTCCGCCCTCAAGACGCAGCTCCTCCTCTGCAGTTTCCACGCTTCTGAGCTTCGGCCTCACAGAGCAGCCCTCCCCCACTCAGCTCCTTCAGACTAGTCATCAGCAATTAGCTGATGGAACAGTGCATGCTGAAGAGACACTTCTCGGTGAAGCACTGGAAAAATCATCGTTAAGGGGTAAATAGAGGAGCCATGTTGTGATGACTTCTTTAAGGGTGGAGTTTCAGAAACAGCAGGCGTTTTTTTTTTTTAAATAGAGGCCCGATTACAAGGTGCTAAATAACAACTTGATTATGCTACAAAACGGCCCTATGTGTCTCAAAAACACACAAGAAATTTGTGGGAAGGTAAAATACTTTTCACAGCAGATTGTTTCTTTTCCCTTTGGAATCAATAAAGGATTTCTGAACCAGTCCCGACATTGTCTGTACTGCCTGTTTTGCAGGGGGCCTCTGCATTGCTCAGTCCATAAGGATCCCCAGAGAGCCCAGACGAGGCGAGTTCGACAAAATCATCAAGAGGCTGATGGAGACATCTAACGCTCGCGGGGTCATCATCTTTGCCAACGAGGATGACATCAAGTGAGTCGAGCTGCCGCAAAATCTGCCGGAGACTCCGTTATTTCTTTGTGTGTTTGTTGTGTTTCAGACGGGTGTTGCAGGCTGCGAAAAAGGCCAACCTGACGGGCCACTTCCTGTTTGTCGGGTCCGACAGCTGGGGGGCCAAGAGCTCCCCCATCGAAGATCAGGAAGAGGTGGCAGAGGGAGCGGTCACCATCCTGCCGAAAAGAGCCTCGATTGACGGTACGCGAGGTTTATCCATCTGGAACAGTTGGATGCACATCCAAAGAGATATTACAGTTTACAGTGATCGATGAGCCAACTAATGATGCAATCAAATAGCTTATGACTGACTGATGGGTCCGATCCGATCTCGCCGTCCTACTTAAATCAAGGAAACCAGAATCACATTCAAACTTGCTTGTATAAAACTATGACTTTATTCCCCCCCGTCTGATTTTCACTGTAAGCCCCCATGAGCTTGACCTCAGTGCCACATGCTTCTCGATCCAGGGTTCGACCAGTACTTCACCTCGAGGTCGCTCGAAAACAACAGAAGAAACATCTGGTTTGCCGAGTTCTGGGAGGACGACTTCAAGTGCAAACTGACTCGACCCGGCATCAAATACGACCCCGACAGAAGGAAATGCACAGGTGCGTTTGGAGCCGTGGCGAAGGCGGTGGCCGTACACGTCTGAAACGTAACCTCGGCTCTCTCTCTCTCTCTGTGTGTGTGTGTGTGTGTGTGTGTGTGTGTGTGTGTGTGTGTGTGTGTGTGTGTGTGTGTGTGTGTGTGTGTGTGACGTGTTTCCCGCTAGGCGAAGAAAGAATCAGCCGGGACTCTCAGTACGAACAGGAGGGCAAGGTGCAGTTTGTCATCGACGCCGTGTACGCCATGGCCCACGCACTGCACAGCATGCACATGGACCTCTGTCCCGGCTCCATGGGCGTCTGCGAGAAGATGGACCCCGTGGAGGGGCGGATGCTCCTCCAGTACATTCACTCTGTCAACTTTAACGGTGAGTCCTCAGCTGCCGGCCCGATTTCTCCGCCTTTTCCTGTGTTGCGTTCAGAAAAGAGGACAAACTGGAAGAAAATTAAGATTTAGAGCGGGCAAAAAAAGGAAAAACCTGATTCAAAGGGGAGAGTGGCAGCAGGGAAGGCCAGATTTAATGGGAAAGCTTTGAGATGCTTTCTGCTCCAAACTGCAGAGCACAACACGTCGCTCTCAAAGAGCGTCCCCTCCCCTCCGGGGGGCCTGCCTCCTCGGCCTTTTGTGCGCACCACACTCCCCTCTTTTCATCCCTCCCTCCTCTTTCATAGAAAAGGAGTCACGGTGTGGAAAAATGAAAAAAGAAGAAAAAAAAACAGAAAAGAAAAAAAGTGTTCTATGAAAGCATCCTATTTACTGCTTTCCTCCTTCCCGGGCGACCTTGTCTTGTATGGAAGTCTTTCTGATTGAGAGCGCCTGCAGGGACCCGAGAGGAGCATTCAATCACGTTAGGGCAAGAGAGCAGAGAGCACTGAAAGACTGTACGCTTGGAGCTACTGAAAAGCGTCCTGCACTTAGCTTTCAAAATGACTCCGGCAGACTAAAGTAAGCAATACTGTCTTACTGTCTTCAACAGAGTGTGGGCATTTCCTCTCTCTCTCTGTGTGTTCCTGATGTCTCTGTCACGCGTCTTGTGTGGGTTCAGCTTCTTAAAAAGTCTCCCTCCAAAACCACAGGCAGCGCAGGTACGGCGGTGATGTTCAATGAGAACGGAGACGCTCCGGGTCGCTACGACATCTTCCAGTACCAAATGTCCAACGTCAGCAACCCTGGATACAGGGTCATCGGGCAGTGGACAAACCACCTGCGGCTTAACGTAAATATCTGCCCGATTCAGACCTTTTGTGCCAACTAATGGAAAATGACTAAAAAAAACAACAACAAAAAGGATCTGGTTTTGACAAAGAGAATCTGTTGGTAGAGAAGATAAAAATAATAGTGACAAAATAAAATAAGAAAAAGAATACTTTTTCTGTTTGTGTTTTTTCACAGGTGTTAAAAAGATGATTGTTGGCTCTGTAAAACCTGCATATTGCTTCAAAATAGCACCTACTTGCAATATTTATTGTTTTATGGCTAACTTGGCTGATATCCAGGTGAATTCGCCATGTCCCACCTGTGCTTACAATATGAAGTTCCCAACTTCACAAGTTGGAGAAAACAATTAGATGTGAGTCTGAGTGAGAGGGACGTCAGTCCACAATGGAAGACGTCATGTAAGATTTGGATTATGCAAGTTCAACCTTCCCAATATTTTCCAGTGGGAGAAATCAGCTGGTGTGACTAAAGTCCAACAAACCTGAAGTACCTGCATAACCGAATCTGACGGGTTGCCTCAAAAAACTTGTTGACATTTGGAGTAATGAGCTGCTTTTATTAGCTTTTAATGGAGTATAGATATGAAAACAAAATTATTCAAGACTGGTGTGTGTTTGAAAATCTGCCGCAGCTCGAGGAGATGCAGTGGTCAGGAGGCGACCGCAAGATCCCAGAGTCCGTGTGCAGTTTCCCCTGTGAGCCTGGTGAGAGGAAGAAGATGGTGAAGGGCGTTCCCTGCTGCTGGCACTGCGAGCTCTGTGACGGCTACCAGTTCCTGCTGGACGAGTTCTCCTGTGACATGTGTCCTTTCGACATGCGGCCCCTGAGGAACCGCACAGGCTGTCGGCCCACGCCCATAATCAAGTTGGAGTGGAGCTCTCCCTGGGCCATCATCCCCGTCTTCCTGGCCATCCTGGGAATCCTGGCCACCACCGGAGTCATCGCCACCTTCGTCCGCTTCAACGACACGCCCATCGTTCGCGCATCCGGCAGAGAGCTGAGCTACGTCTTGCTGACGGGCATCTTCCTCATCTACCTCATCACCTTCTTCATGATTGCAGAGCCCAGTGCGGGTGTGTGCACCATACGCAGGCTGCTGCTGGGTCTCGGGATGTGCATCACCTACTCCGCCATGCTCACCAAGACCAATCGGATCTACCGGATCTTTGAACAGGGCAAGAAATCGGTCACGCCTCCCAAGTTCATCAGCCCCACTTCTCAGCTGATTATCACCTTCATCCTCATTTCGGTTCAGGTAAACCAGTAAATGGTTTTGTGGCATACATCATCGGTTCGGTGCCTACAGCAGTCTAATGCTTCTCTCTCTCTGTAGTTACTGGGGGTGTTCATTTGGTTTGGCGTGGTTCCCCCTCACACTACCATTGACTACGACGAGCTAAAGCCTCCGAATCCGGAGTTTGCGCGTGGGATCCTGAAGTGCGACATGTCCGATCTGTCCCTCATACTCTGCCTGAGCTACAGCATTGTGCTCATGATCACCTGCACGGTGTACGCTATCAAGAGCAGAGGAGTCCCAGAGACCTTCAACGAGGCGAAGCCCATCGGCTTCACCATGTACACCACCTGCATCATCTGGCTGGCCTTCGTCCCCATCTTTTTTGGAACAGCACAGTCTACAGAGAAGGTAGAACCCTGCTTTCTGCTCCCCGACATTGAGGAAAGCAGCGATTACTTAGCTGGCATATTCTTTTTAATGAGGAACATTTTTTAAGTTTGAAGTTTCTTCGATTTAAAAGTGTCACAGTGTAAATTTTTGCTGTGACTAAAGTGGTAGAAATAAGATATTGAAACAAATGATGGGTCATTTGAAACTAGGCCAGGACGACTAATAAACATCACCTCTAGTCTTATTGAGGACTTGGAGTACTTTACACAGTGGATTGTACTTTTACTATCCTGTATTCAGACTTTTCAGACTGTACCGTCGGTGCATGTTCTTAGCATTCACAAACACAATGAACACAGGAGGGTTCAGCTCCTCACATCTTTCCAATGGATACAGTAGGAATCCTCCACTATTGCCTCTTAACTGCAGATATGTCAAAACACAAAAGACCTGGGCTGACGCAGCCTTATTAAGTAGAGCAGTCTCTGAATCTCTGAAGTTTTGCAACTTGTGCGCCACCTGTACTGAACAATTCAGATTGTGTTCCGTCAATGAAGCTACACCTGCACTGGCATTTCAATGAACCCTGCATGAGGCCCATTTTCAGAGAATATCTCGCCAACGTACGTGTCTAAAACACCAGGCCACTTGCTCGGCTCGTGTGCGCTTAACGCAAACTTTTGAAAGCGCAACTGAGTCAAGGGCTCAGCACACGGGGCGATCAACGCAGCACGCAGCGAGAACGTGCATAGAGTGAGCATGTGGAAGAAGATTCTCTGACCAGAGGAGACGCGAACGTAACTTTCTGTGCTACCTCCAAAAGAATATGCGGTGGAAATCTAACATGTCGCACCTTCGTACACCACAGTGAAACACGGTGTCAGAAGCAGCATGCTGTGGGCATGGGGCAGGGCAGCTGACGTTGAACAGAAGATGGATGGAGACTAAGAGTTGTGAACACGTGTGCAAAGCACTGTTGGTCTAAAAAAAAGACGGATGGATGCTCTGTTGACTCCCTTTTAAGACAACTCTCCCTCCTTCACCCCTATGAAGGCATTAAATTGGTGCAGTGGCTGAAAATATTGCAACACGCAAAGGCGAGCACACTCACAGTTGGAAAGTGAAAGAAAAGAAACCCTCAAATCCTCAAAGTGAAATCTTGGTTTGCTGCCTGTCAAATCGTATTTGCTTTCCGCTGCCCTCGCAGAACATCCTGCCACCACTGTACTGAGGGTTTAAATTAGCTTTGGGGTTATTTTCTGCCGCAGCAAAATACGGGACCGACGGAGGAATATTGGAGAAAAAAAATACGGATAGGCTTTGACTAATCGAGAGATGCATTATGATTCAGTCAAGCTGAAACAATTAAAGCCTCTGGGTGCTTTTAAAGTCTTTTCACCTCTTCAAACTGGAAGTGAAGTGAATGGAGACAGGAAGGGAAGACAACAGGAGGACAGACGGGACGATCCGGAGACCGATGTGACCCTCTCGTTCAATTAATCATCGGTTTGGGAAAAGCGACTAAATATAGACCGTCGGCGTGGTGAAAGTGACATCTGTTATCAAGCCGTCACGTGCGGCGAGGGCCTCCTCCGCCATGTTTCCTGTTCGCCCGAAACATGGCGGCGGCAAAAGTTATCCGTTTCTGAGCACGTGTCCCTGCCCGACCCGGGGCCAAACACACGCACACACACACACACACACACACACACACACACACACACACACACACACACACACACACACACACACACACACACGCAATCTCCACTGTACCACAAAATCACTGAAAAAGATTCCTCCGAGAAGAAATAAATAATAATACAAAAACGGGAAACATGCGAAACACGGCAGAGGTCGGCGGAATGATGGCTGGTGACTTATTTATGGCAGACCTATGTCTTATTCATGGCACACACACTTCATGTTTTTTTTGGTTTTTTTTGCCTGGACAGAGTTTTAAAAATATATATAATTTTACATATTCTTGGTAGTTTTTTGCGACAGAGCCACGCTGAGAAAATAAAACTAAATAAATGAAATTATGAGAATAAAGCCAACCTTATGAGAACAGTATTACGAAAACAAAGTCGTAATATTAATTCCGACTTTATTCTTAAAATATTGACTTTTCTCCTGTTACAACGTTATTCTCACGTTATTTAGACTTTATTCTCGTAGCACAACTTTCTTCTTGTTTTATCTTAGTATGGCCGCAGTACTCCGTCGTGCATTTTGACTGTTTTTGCCATATGTTTTCTGCAGAAGTAAAGTAAACGGCAAAGAGGGAAATGCCGTGAAAACCCCAGAAACGGGACATCTTCTCCAGACTACATTTACAGACATAAATCATTCATCAGGGAACAGTGGCCGCTGTGGCTTAAGATGAAAAATAAAGAACCCCTGCTTGTGTTTCTCACCTCCGGCGTGTTTCTCTGTCTCCAGATGTTCATCCAGACCACCACCCTGACTGTTTCCATGAGCCTGAGCGCCACCGTGTCCCTGGGCATGCTCTACATCCCCAAGGTCTACGTCATCATCTTCCACCCGGAGCAGAACGTCCAGAAGAGGAAGCGCAGCTTCAAAGCCGTAGTCCAGGCGGCCACCGTGTCCACGCGCCTGTCCCAGAAGGTCAACGACAAGCAGAACGGAGAGTCCAAGATGGAGCCGGACAGGTCGCAGTGACCCGACGTGGTCAGGGGGTCGGCATTCAGAGCCAGAAGCATCTGAGCGCCTGTTTCTGTCCTCTAGTCGTGAAACCAAACGACCAGCAAATGTGGAGGTTTATAAAACTTTATTTAACCTGGAATGAAGAATGGAAACCAAGGAAAAACTAACACTCACACACATCGGGACTGTAACAATACTGAGCCATCTTGAATCAAATGGAAAAACAACTGTTTGTTATCCACCTGCAGAATTCTGGCGTAATTCTGCGTGGATGTTTCACCACTCTTCTTCTTAGGAATGGCCAACGCATTTAAATCGCATTCATTCCACAAAGCCCGATGTCGGCCAGCTTCATGCATTCCAAAAAGCTATTTTAATTCGGAGTGCACCGATACATTTTGCAGATAGGACGATATTTGCGAGAGTAGCCGATCTTATGCATCCCTTTTCTCTGCTGGTTTAACCGACAGATGTTCTACCAGGTCACATCTGCACGTCGCCAACGATGCGACTTTGTTGCTTTATTCACCAACTTTCCGGACAAAAAAAAAAGCCCAAAACAAAACCAGATCGGCCCAAAAATTCACATCTAATTTATATTTCAAATAACATTTTTAAAAAGATGCTGTTTGGGTTAAAGAATGATTCAAATGCGTGTCTGAAAGCCTTTCACGGGTGGAGCCATGCTGGTGGACATAAACGTCTCAGCAGGACTGTCCTTATACCTCAGCTCGATGGAGATGCGTCAGAAATTGAAACGCTCCTTCAGAAATGCTGCTTAGGAAAAAGAAAAGCATTTTCCTTTGTCCTACAGGAAGATTTACATTGTTAGTGGAAGCCGTCGGGACCGAGCGGCTCCTGAAGCACCGCATGGTTTACGTGTTTCTGAATGTCTCACATATTGTTCATGAGGGACGAGCGTCTCTTCTCACACTGGAGGGAGGCAGATTTATCACTATGTCTGTATCGCTGCTGGTCTCAATAGCCAGTGGCTTATGTCATGCAATATTTATTTCTTTTTTAAGTAATGTAATAATGAGACAACCTAATTTGTTTTTAAGTGGAAACTTCATTTAGGGGCACATACAGGACGTGGGTGACTGTGAGGAGGATGTCTGTTCCCCACCTGGTACTTTCACATCAGCATTAAGGAAAACAATGTTTGGTATTTCCCCATATTGTCTGTGAAAATATGAAGCGTTCTGTGAAAAGGTCAGGCTGCATGGCGGCTCCACGCAGCCGCTCGGCCTTCGTCGGAATGGAAAATACGTCCGAGGAAATGTCGGGAATGATTAAAATGACACCGAGTCAATACGAGCTCATGTTCGCCGAATAGACCTTTTTTAGTTTCCTTCGTAAACTTCATTCATCTCAGGATTTTCTTTTTTTTTTTTTTACAACAAAGTAACGAGTTAAGGAGCACGACTTGAACTTTTTCTCTTTCTTGTTTCACCGAACTTAAGAAAATGTTTTTACCCTTTAGTGGTGCTTCTTTGTTTGAAGGATGGACTGTAGGTTTGTGGTCTTTTTTATTTTTATTTTTTTTGGAGGAGTAACATTTTTTAAGATTGAAGTGTGAAAAGGTAACAGAATTCAAACATGTTTCAGATCAGAGTTGTTTTGTTTTTTTACCTAATCTTGTCCTCAACATTTAAAATTATTGCCTTTCTTTTGATGTTTAGAGCTAGAAATAAAATGGTGTTAGCTTGTACTGCTAACGGCAGCGCCGGTTGGCAAATCCTGCTGGTTTTTGAACCTTGACCTGAAACATGGCTTACTGGCAACTAACTGAATCCTATCAGAACTGAGCAGCTACCTTCACTAAACGCATGTTTATGTCACAAAGAAAATTTGTTTGCAGGTTGTTCTTTGATTAGAAATTGTTTAATTTGGATTTTGGCCTACAGCTATAAAAATTCAAATTTCAGTTTCTTAAGTAAAAAGGAGCACGTTTATTAGATCAATAGACACATAATGTCAAAGGAATAAATAAAATAGTTTGTGATGCCCTCTGCTGGAGAGCACTGCTCAGTGCAAATATTAGGGGAACAAAAACAGACCAAAATAATAATAAAAAGTTTATTTTTGAGCTGGCTGACACTAAGCGAGAGATTAAAAAACAAAACATAATTAATCCAAATGTACATTTTTATGAAAAAAAGCTGTGAAAATCAGCTGAAAACGGGAAAATAAACTCAGACAATCATGCTTCTAGTCAGAAGTGCTTCAGGCCAGACTGTGAACAAATTTATATAAACACACAACAAAAAAAGAGACTATATCAGGCATGTTGATGTTAAAAAATAAAGGCAGCATTTGTTGTTTTCTGAGGTGCGTTCTTCTGATTTTCAATAAAGTAGTAATTACAAAGTTCTGCTGCCGTCTTGTCCCGACCCGTCTCCTGGTCCCCCTGCTGGGCCACAGCAGCACCAATGATTTGTTTCAGCCCCAAACGTCCCGACTTCATTCCAGGAAGCTGTCCAGAGTCAGACATGTTGGAATCTTAGAGGGAGGCCGAGTCACTTTTTTCCTTTTGGCTTTCAGCAGAGGCCGGATCTCGGATAAAGGAGACTGGATCAAAGAGCTCAGTCAAGGAACGATGACAACTCGGTAAATTTACAGCAAAGCACCTTAAGTGCTTTTTAAGAGCTAGAATTGAGAACAAATTTGAATTCATCGTGGATTTTCTCATATATACCCACACACAACCACTAATATTTGGTGAAATGTTCTTCAGCAAGATGCAGAGAAACTCTAATATTGGCAATAGCAACTGAAACTTGCTTACAAGCTTGCTAAAGCTGCTAACAAACCAACTACTTTAACGCTGTGGTATGTAATTTTTATAAAAGAAGATTAAATATTTGAAAATGTCATGTGACAGTATGTAATGAGACAAAACTTGTGGTAAAAGTTTAATTTTGTTAAAAAAAGATTACCTCCTCTTTCAATAAAGGAATAAACGGACAAAGTCTGTAACATTCATGAAGACCATTTTGAACTTTTCTCTGCCACAGAAGTGAAGACAGAAAAAAGGATACAGGTTGGATGAATTTAGTCCGTCCTCCTAATCCATCATAGCCAGTTTGGACCTAATGAAAAGAAAAAACAAAAACTAAATCAAACAGATGGCACTCTGAGAAGCAGAGATTTCTGCATTGACTATGTTGTACATACGACTCCAGCCTTCTTCTGAGGGTCCAACATGCTTCCGAAAGTCTTCTTTCTGAAGAGGAGGGAGTTCCTCAGAAAAGGATCGAGCGTTGAATCTTCATTCTGAGCCAACGGCAGAAAATCACAGCGTTACGCTCAACGAGTGATAGTGCAACATGTCTTGCAGAGAGACTGATTCGAGCCTCACCTTGCTCAGGGAGGAAAGTTTCTCGCTGTGTTTCGAAGAAGACGTTCTAGAAACAAAACAAGTTTTCCGTCTGAGCCTTAAATCAACCGACTCGTCATCTGAACCGTCGACTCAAAGAGCTTACCCCAGCCGCATCTTCTTCGAGGGAACCTGGGACGGTCTCTTTGACGTGTCGTCAGGCGTGGCGATGTCATAGGTCATGTTGAGGTCGATGTCGTCTCCGCGCGCGGGCTGGTGGTGGTGGGGGGGCTTCAGTTCCAGAGGCGCCGGGCTGCGGAAAAAAGCCCCAGGTGAATGAGCGACAGAGTTTCCTGGGAAATCCCATCGACACCAGAGGAGGCTCCGAGGGAACGAACCTTTCGAAGACGAGCCTGCTGAGGGCTTCGTTGGTGCGGGTCGGCGTGCTCAGAGTCTTCTGGAGAAACTCCACTTTCTTCTTGAGACTCTGGGGACAGAACCCGAGCAGGAATCGGCACAAGCCTCTCGGGTAGCGCAAGTGTACGAGTTCTGTTGATCTGCTCTTACCGAGATCTCCTTGTCGGCGCCGGCCAGGTCTTTCTGCAGAGACTTCAACTCCTCTTTGAGCAGAAGTGCCTCCCGGGAAGCCTTCTCCAGCTAAAAAAAAAACAAAACAAAAAACAGTTGACAATCAAGAAGTTGTTTTTTGGGACGTTTGACTTAAAGCTCCAGATGTGACGCTACCTTGCTGTTTGAGGAGAGAACTTCTCGCTTCAGCTTCTCGCACATGTCGTTTGAAGACTTGAGGCTTCCTTTGAGGTCATCATATTCTCTGAGTGCAGGGAAGTAGATGAAAATGTTTTGAGGAAACAGAATTAAGAAAAATGATTCATTCTGATAGGAATTTTTTTCCTTCTGTCGAATTAAAACGAACCTGTTGCCCTTCTAGTATTTTGTTACAAGTACCGCCGACTACAGTGTCTGAACTCGATGGATCACGAATCACTGCAAACTCTCCAGACAGCCCGCCGCTGAACAATTCTTCAAATCAGCAGAAAAGTGTGTCAGCTTTTACTAATTTCAACTTGCTTTGGATTTAGCTTGCAGGTAAATCCAAAGTTTTACGAGGTAGAGCGCCATGATGAGAGGACTTTCCTTCCCCACCACTCTCATTGAGAATCGTTCAAAGATTGGGGGTAGAGCTGGGTGCAGGAGAACTATTTATGAAACTGAGAGCAAAACCAAAACCAAAAGATTGGCACAGAATCAACCAAAAGTAAGGTCAAAGTTCAAAGTCAACCTTTATTTGTACAGCACATTTACAACAGCCTCAGCTGACCAAAGTGCTTCACAACAAAAACACATAAAACAGGTAGATAAATGATGGAATAGAAAATAAAATTAGGTTTAGTGAAAATATTAAGACAAATATAAAATTGGCAGAGATACCAAAAGCTAATAGTGTGAATGAAAATCAAGGTCATAGCTCCAGTTAGTTCTATAGGGGTCGGCTATGAGGCAGCTAACTGCAGATGTCACTTAGCGGACCTTTAATTTTGGATGATTCTGTGACCAGCAAACCACCCAAAAATTACAACAATATGTGCCGGTTTATTGGTGCTAGTGACTTTTAAGACAAATAGTTTAAAAAAATAAATAAAATGTAAAAGCCGGTTTTGGACAAAATCAGCAGCTCAGGCTTTTTAAAAATTGGTGATCGGCCAAAAAAACCTCTAATGGACAGTTTGCACACTGGCCAATATATCTGGATGTTGACAAATCTGCCAGCTAGAAATAATTACTTACTGTTCGTAAGCAGATCTTGTTACGTTAACAGAATGTGTGACATGGATGACCCCCGCAACAACAACAACAACAACAAAATCCATCAAGCGAAGGAAAAGATCCAGCCTAACCAGCTGGTTCTTACTTCTTCAGAGAGATGCAGTAAATAGAGAGCTGCTCCACTGCTGCCTGGCTCACACCCATATCTGTGATCATGGACTCCACTTCGCCTCGCTGACCCTGCAGCAGCATGTCCAGGCTGGGGAAGACAACAGCTGGATCATCAGTTCACAAGAAGTCAGTAAATAAAAGTCAAAACGATTTAATCAGAATTGTTCTGTAAACTTGGCTGAAGTGAACATTTAAATCCCTCATTTTACCCTTCCAAGGTTTTCATTTTGCCCCTCAGTCTGCGGATTTCCTCCTTCGCTGCGTGAATTTCGTTCTGCTGCGTCTCCAAATACACCATCTGCTTCTGTTGACACATCCAAACGTTACCAGGCAGACCAACTTCGGTCTCACGATGAAGCATTAACGGCGTCAGCCTTGAAACAAAAAGCCGTACTTTGAGAGCGACGCAGACCATCTCCTTTTCCATGACCTCTTTCCGCACGGCATCCAGGTCTCTCCTCTGCTTGTTCACCGTGTCCTTCAAGCCGTCCATCGCCTTCTGTTTCTCCCGCCAGTCTCGATCTGAAAAAGCAAACAAACAAAAACGATTAGTCGATCAGCTGGCCACAGCAACCTTCAAATTAAAGGGGAAATTAAGTGCGCATGTGGAGCACCTTTAGAACTCAGCAGTGCCTTCATTCGATCAACCTCATTCTGTGAAAAACACGAAGACAACACGCTTAAGTGAAATGTAAAAACACATGCTAGACAGCAGAATCCGTCAATTTTACCTTGATCTGATGTATCCAAAATTTTCCATTCATTTTAAAAAATCTTTCTTGGACTGTTTGTTTACCTGCAGGCTCTCTGGGTCCACAGACCCTTCCTCCCCCTCTCCTCCAATGTCAAAGAACAGCTTGTTGATGATGTGTCTGGTGCTGACCTACAGAAGAAGAAGGAGGGAAAAAAGTTATGTATCAATATGCACGAGTACATGGTTCGGATCAGGCTCTGTTTTCTTTGTTATGTTTAGCTGCAGCACCTGTTTTCTGCACTGAGGACAGGTTTTGGTTGGAGCGGTCTGAAACCACTGAAGAAGACTGGAAGAAATGAGAAAAATATACTTTACACACACAAGAAAATGTGCTGACATTTTTGGAGAACGTTGACGGATTTGGACAGTTGAATTCGTCTCACCATTCGTAGTGAAAAGTGTGTCCGCAGTGAATGGCAGCCACGTCTCTGGCGTGATCAAAGAAGTCGGAGCAGATCGTACAATAGGCTCTAATGGGCATTTTTATTTTAAAAACCGGAAAAAGGGGAGGGGGCTCGACCGGTTCGTGTTGTATAACAGAAACAACAAACGGTTCACGTCACGGCTTTACTGTGTTACTATCTCACCAGCTGTCAGCGTGTTTAACAGGATATGTTTTGAACTGAATGTTGTCTCGCGAGACAGTGATAGCTACAGCAGCAACGGAGCTAACGCCTACGTTACCGGTGTTCATACTTACTAAATAGAGACGCCAAGTTACAGCACAGTCCTTCGGAACAATCTCAAGTATCCCTAAACATACCCGTAAAGCTTTATTTGAACCTAGCTAGCGCCACATTGTGACTCAAACCACAGATAGCTAACAGTCGCGCAGTATTTCCTCCGTCTGTGCGTTTCCCCGCTAGGCGTTCAAACGTTAAGCCCCGCCCCCACATGGTGCGTTCACGGTGCTTTTCGTGCGTCAGTTTTGTCGCAGTCAGTGTGTCCAGTAGTAGATTTTGTGGGACTTTTTGCGATACTTTTATTGTAGCAGACGCTAAAACAATAAATAAAAAATACGTTCAAGTTGTATAGAATCACACGAAAAGCCCTCATTAAAACACAGTATGTAACTGCAATAAAGTACATTACTCCCAACAAAAAATTCTCAAAGAAAATAAAAAATAGTCTAATAATCTTGGACTCCGTTGGTTCCTCCACAAACAGCTTCACCTTTGGATGCTCTAAAAGGTCTTCATCCGGTCCACCAGTAATGTGTAAGAGTGGATGGTTTGCTTCCGTTGTAGCTCCAGATGGCCTTCTGGAGGCCGCAGTCTTATTTGCCAGGTCATCTGGAAGGTTGGGCACAAACGTTCCCAAAGACATGATGATGACGCCGTGCTCTCCAGAACTCTGCACAAACTCCTCGAGATCTGCGCCAGACAGTCTACAAAAAAAAAATTATAATTAAAATTAAAAAAATCACATATAATTATATTTTTTCATTTTAATTTTAAGAATAACCTGGGGAATGTTTTAATATATATTTGTTTAAAGTGTAATTATTTTTGTATTTGAAGTATTTTTTTAACTTCATTCAGTCAATGACTCAATAATTATGTTTTTTTCTTTACTACTTTGACTCAAAAACATAAAATAGCTTAGATAATAAATTAAACGTAAACAATCAAGCATATTTACATTTACATTATGTGACTTCGTTCTCACAGCTTTCAAGTGCCTCTCTTTTTCTGGACTCGGGACTTCATATCCCACAATTCCCACTTCCGCTAACTAGCATGTTGGCAGGTAGCAGAAGTCCGTTGGTTTCGTGCAGCTAGCCGCTGCAGCAGTTACACGAGTGGAGGAGACGTGGACTGAAACGCGAAAGCCGTCGAAATGAGAGGTAGAAACCTGACAGTAGTCCGTGTTGTAACGGGAAGTGATAGTGTTGCTGTAGGAGCTCGGAATAGACCTCCGGTAGAGCTGACGTCTGTTGGAGTTAGCAGTTAAGAGTAGCCTCTGAAGTTCTCCTTTAGGTAATGCTTCCAGTTAAATAAAGGATGTGAGAGAACAATATACCCCCTCAACACTATTGTTTTGGTTCCGTAGTTTAGTTTCACTTCATTTTTTGTACTAGTTTGTAGCTTTTAGTCACTGCAGAAATAAAGAAGGGTATAACCCGGTGCATCTTTACACGACGCAGTCACGAAGCGGCTCGACCTTTGAACCCAGCTTTCAGCCTGTGTCGGTCCTGCTGTCCAGGTGTGTGTGCCCGCCGGAAGTAGCAGGGATGGACGGAGAAACTGGCAAGACGACCGTGGCCTGGGAGAACGGTCTGCTGGCTCCTGTGGACCGGCTGCGCTCCGACAGGGCGGAGAGCCCCACACCGGGTCTGGTGGAGGGCACGGAACCAGGTGAGCTGAGCTGAGGAAGCAAACCGACCTGAAACTATTTCTGGGGTGATTTAGTTTGCTTTTGTTTCAGGATTCACGTGAAACTGTTATATGTGAACGTCAACATATCTATATGGATGTTTTTTACTGCCTTTGTAGCAACTTTTCAGATTTTTTTGGTTTCAGTTTGGTTTGGATTTGGATTTGGTCCCCAACACTTTAGTAGAACCATCGATTGCTACAGGTCTTTCGGGATTATGCCACCCCCCCACTTTGCCAGTCTAGGGGCTCATTTATCAGGACGTAATACAGATTTAGGTGCAAACGTTACACATCTGATAGATGAATGTACTGGCCACTGTCTGCTCAGAGTTGATTTAAAATCCATAACCTTATTTATTCACGGTTTCAGTGGGATTGTCCACAGAATTTGTGACCTAGAAGAAAGACAGACAATGAAAGCAAAGACAGAATAAATAACAACTACTGTTGACCTGAAAGACATATTATACTTCAAACTTGAAAAATGCAAAATGTATTTGTAGTTGAACCTAGTGATATTTTTTGATGGGGTCATGCTGAAGGTGGTTTGGGTGTGAAGTGGCATGATTGTGCACATTCTAGGGTTGTGTAAAATAATGCAGAACAGCTCTTCCTGTCATGAACGACAGAAGTACATGCAGAGATGAGTTGAACTTGGACGTTTATAGCAAGTCATTGTGTTTTCATAAGAGCATTCTTGTATTCCGCAAGTGGAGGCAACACTCCAATGGAATTGCCTTGCCTTGCTAATGCTAACGCAGAACAAGCTGCGGCCTTTTTATATATAATATATATATTTATATTTAAAAAGGAACTAAACTATTTGTTTTATATTCATATTTTAATGTAATTCTAATACTGTAAAAAAAAAAAAGGTTAAATGACAAATCTGTGAAATGTAAATTTTTCTGTGTCAGTTTATTCATCAGAGACATCGATAGAAATTTCTGAAGTTCAAAACATGAAAAATTCTGGAACCTCGGAAATTTCAACTTTTTTTGTTTTGTTTTGTTTTTCTCAATAACCCCTGAGATAAATCTTAATTTCATGTTTCTTTTTCTAGCAAATGTTGACTTTTAAAACTTTTTCACTCTTTTTTTTTTTCAAAAAAACATTTTTTGATGATTTTTTTGGGTGGAAATGTAATATTTTTTTTCTATTTACAATGGTCATAATACTCAGTTGTAAGAAAAAGCTCTTCTATCCCCCAGAAATACAGAACCACTTTTAGTAGATTTGTGGTTTTGGCGCCCCCAACTGGTCCACGTCAGAACTCCTCAATATGTTCATCATCTAATTCATCTAATGTGGTATAACAAAAAATGCAAGCCTGACATATCATCACTTCTCTCCACAAGGAGAAATATTAATATTTTCTCAGATCGGTGTTGTTTCTGTTTCTTTTTTGAGGAACATGAAGACCTATCATAATCCTATCATGATTGTGGATCTCAATGGATAACATCCACAATCTGAGTTCTTAGATTAGGGACTAAGAGGATGTTTTGAGAAATGCACCATTCGTTAACCACTTTGATTTAAGATCTTATTGTGGTATTTAAGTAGAAATGGCCTCTTAATGCCTTCCATTAAGAGCCATTTGTTTTAATAAATCAGCACTCTGCAGGCGCTGGTCAGCAGAGTGCTATTTTCTATCACACACAGTCCTACGAAGACCTGACCGGCGAGGCTGAGGAAGAAGCCCAGAGGGCGCCAGGGTCAGACGGTTCAGCAGAACATGATGAAGAGGAGTTCAGTGCCTTGGTTGAGGACAAAAGCGCCAAGGAGCGTCTCAACAGCGACGCCTCGTCCGAGAGCAGAACCAAAGAGGAGGACGTGTCCAGCGAGGCGTGGAGGAGCCACAAAAAGCACGTGTTTGTGCTGAGTGAGGCCGGAAAGCCGATCTACACCCGCTACGGCACAGAGGAGGCCCTTTCCAGCACCATGGGGGTGATGATGGCACTGGTGTCTTTTGTAGAGGCGGAGAAGAACATCATCCGCTCCATCCAAGCAGGTCAGAGAACACTTTCGGTATTAACTCAGCATATCAGGTTTTGTCCCTGATATGCTGAGTTTGATACTTTAGTAAAGTCAGTAAATGCTCCCTTATCTTAAATTGTGGGAAAATAACATAGGTATTCACTTTTAAATGAAGGTTTTCACAACTTCTACAAAAAACTTGTAACATGCATGCAAATGAGTTCTTATTCGTTTTTGGTGCTCGAATGTCAACTTCAGTCATATTCAATAATTAATATGTGTTCTTAGGAGGCTTGTTTGTGTGACTAAAACATACAGTTTCATTAAGATCCAGTTTATGTATCAAAAATGTTTTGTTTTTTTATTGTTCAAATTAGAGACGCACCAATCCACTTTTTTCACTCCTGATGACGATACAGGTATCTGAGGTTCATTATTGGCCGATACTGATCTGATACAGAAAAACAGTGCTAGATTGACTTAAAACATTTTTTTTAAATGCGCTGAATTACAAATTTACCTTATAACCCTCCATCAGTACAGCATACTTAACTACACTAGTAGTTTCACAAGCTTGGTCAGACATGTACAAGTAACACAACTTTAGTTTGCTCAGTCAATGCAACTAGGAGCAGAAAAGCCAATGTAAAATAAATAATATCAAAATTGAAGCTGACAGAAACAGAAAGTGCAACTAGGAATTCTATATATAAGTATAAAATAAATAATAAAGCATGCCTGAGAGCACAAAGCATAGAATTAGACTGTGTAGATCTGCCCTTATGGATCAGGCACATTGCCACTAATATTTAGTCTAGAACAGTTTTGGAAATGATACAGATATTAATATCGGATCGGCACGTCTAATCTGAGAACTGATCAGGTCAGACGACATACTGTGATCCCCGTTTTAAAGGATGAAAAACAGTTTTAATGATTGACCAGCAACAGGTAGAAGTCAAGAGGATTTATTCAGCATGTTTCAGCACAAAACATCATACAGTTTTGATACAAGCAATGAACCTGACCTTTAATCAAAAGCCCTAACCAAAAATCATCATTAATAAACTTTAAATGCGTTGGTCAGTGTTCCATTTACTAGGACTCAAAAGCAGCTCTAAACAGGTGGGTTTTTAGCCTTGATTAAAACAAAGTTGGTGTTTTGGCAGTTTTGCAGTTTTCTGGAAGCTTGTTCCAGATTTGCGTCGGATAGAACCTGAGTGTCATCAGGGACGATTGATTGATGATTGATAACTGGTTCAGCAAAGCAGCCAATCGACCTGACCCTCTGTATCTCGGTTCCCAGATGGCTGTAAGGTGGTTTTCCTCACCAAGAGTCCTTTGGTCCTGGTGGGCGTGACCAAGAGCAGTCAGTCAGAGAAGGAACTGCTCCGGGAGCTTCAGTACATCTACTACCAGATCGTCAGCCTGCTCACCCTGACCCAGCTCAACCACATCTTCCAGCACAAGCAGAACTACGACCTGCGCCGCCTGCTGGCCGGCTCCGAGTACCTCACCGACAATCTGCTGCACCGGCTGGAGCGCGACCCGGGCCTGCTGCTCAGCGCCGTCACCTGCCTGCCCCTGGCTAGCTCCGCCAGGGACGTGGTGTCGTCCAGCCTGCAGGCGGCCAAGGCCAAGAACCTGGTGTTCTCCATTCTGCTGGCCGGCGACCGCCTGGTCACCCTGGTCCGCAAGAAGGACCAGTTTCTGCACCACATAGACTTGCACCTGGTCTTCAACCTCGTCGGCTCGTCTTCATCGTTCCGGGAGGGCGAGGGCTGGACGCCCATCTGCCTGCCTAAGTTCAACACGGCTGGCTTCTTCCACGCCCACATCTCCTACCTGGAGCCCGGCTCCGAGCTCTGCCTCATCCTGGTCTCCACCGACAGGGAGGACTTCTTCAACATGTTGGACTGCAAGCAGCGCTTCATGGAGAGGCTGAGCAAGCGCAGCGCCTACCAGGCCATGAAGGAGGCGCTCAAGTGCCAAAGCTACTCTGTGGTGCAGGTCGGAATCCCAGAACTGCGGCACTTCCTGTACAAGTCGAAGAGCTCTGGCTTGTACACCAGGTGAGAGGTCAACGTCTGGCGGAAACTAAGGATGCACCGATCAACTTTTTTTTTCTTTTTTTTTGTTTCTGATACCAATATCTTGAGGTTTAGTATCAGCAAACACCAACCTGACCCTGAAGAGCTATCAATGCACCGAGATGAAAATTTTGGTCGAATATTGCTGTTATGGCTGATAACCGATATTTACTCATATTACACATAATTTAGTGCTATTTCAACACCTTTGTAGTATTTAAGATTCGATCAGTGCGTCTCTAGTGAAAATGCTCATTTTTATCCTGTAACTGAGAAGTTGGATGTTTTTCAAGTACTTTTATGGGGGTTTTTTTCTGTCCAGTCCAGAGATACCTGAGGTGTACCAGTCTGATGAGGAGCAGGAGAGGCTGATGGGACTCTACCAGAACCTTCACAGCTGTTTACACCACCCAACCAGACCGCTGCGCTCCTTCTACCGCTGCAGTGAAGCTGAGAACCTGCTGGCCATGGTGGGTGTAAAAATGTCAAAATGTAAAAATATCACAGCAGAATCTCCATTTTTGCTTTTATGAAGGAATTCTGCACTGCTTGAAGTGAAGCGCCGATAAGTATTTTTTGGCTTAATGAAGCAGTCATGATCAACATAGTTTGGCTTTTTTGACAAAAAAACGTACAAAAAACTCTGTTAATGTCAAACTGAAAGCTCAAAATGTCTACAAAATATATGTTTAAATAAAATTGTCCTTTTAAGTAAAATAAACAATTGCATAATTCTTCACCTCCCTCAAGTCAGAGTCTGGATGCTGCAGTTGATGCCACTTACTTAATTCACTGTGAGAGTTTCAGCAGTTAAAGCCTTTTCTTTTCCTACATCCCCCAGAATGCTGTGTGGTTATGGATTGGAGTTCAGTGAATATTCAATATTTAATATTCTTTCAGACATTTTTTATTGCTTTCAATCACATGTCTATCGTGATATGGATTACTGTTTATTTACTGTTCAGCCCTTCTATGGACAACCAAAAATGGCTTCTAAGCAATACTTCCCAGCTGCAATATTACAGATCTTAGTATGGTGATGACAACTGTGGTGCTGCATATTGTGCAGCTCTGCATACAGTTGTTGCTACTTTAAATGGACAGCATTTAGCTAATAGCTGCAGATTTTGTTCAAGTTAAATACGAATGTTGCTGTAAAACAGTAATAGATGCTTTGTAAAGTACGGTTCTACTTCTTGGAGAAATATAAGTTCATCAGTTGGTAGTTTTATTATTGAAAATGGAAATGACATTTTAGAATGAAACCAACATCAAAAGAATTTCCAAAACTCACAAACAACCACGTATTAAAAATAAATAAATAAAAAACAAATCAAAATTAAAGGCTAAAGATCAGAATTTTGCGAAACAAAAAATCAATTCACTTCTTGGATGAAGTATTAAACTGCTTCCCTTAACTTTTTATGTGGGAGTGCACTCTGAGAGTATTCTGTTACTGCCACCTACTGGTGGGATTGTTTACCTTACAGACTTTGTCTCTGGAGTTTGACGCTTTCGTTTGGTTTTAGTTGGCGTGATGAATCCTGCAGCCTTCAATCCCACAGCAGGAGCGTTTATAAAGTATGATATCCTCAGTGTTTTAGTTGTGTAATGAGTCCAAGCTGTTTCTGTTCTTTCAAATCTGGGAAGATTAACCATCTTGTTTCCTAAAGAATGTACATTTTTGAAAAAAAAAAAGTCTATAGTAGTGGAGCTTAAGTGAATGTTACATCCCGCTGCTCTTTCATGCCACCCTTCCTGCATTTTTGTTGTTTTTTTCTGGCCTGCAGGTGACGAGCGGCTTCGAGCTCTACCTCTGCTTCAGTCCGCTGGCGACTAAGGCCCTGGCGTATTCTGCCGTAAACAAGCTCCTAAAGTGGATCCGGAGGGAGGAGGATCGTCTCTTCATCCTGAGTCCTCTCACATACTGAGCCTTCGCTGCCGAGCCGAACCGAACCTCCTGAGATCGTAGACATCTCTGTCGCCACCTACTGGCATGGAGCGAGCAGCCTCACGGGACAATAAAACCATAATCATCTCACTGTAGACAAGTTGATTGTCAGAGCTATGCATTTCAAGATTCTGGGACTCCCCCGATTTAATTTCTTTAATTGTTCTTTTACAGGCTTTGCTATAGAAGTTGAATTAAAGCAGCGTTTTACCCGGGGAGATTTTAAATAGTTTTATTTTGAATGAGGAGAGGCCACTGCAGCTTTTTGCCTCGCTTGAGATAGAAATTATTCGTTGTGAACGTTCTTAATAGTAAAGACTCATTTCACTGTAACAGAGCAGTCATGCTTCTAAAAACACAACAGCTTTTTAAAAGCTGTAATGTCATTTCTAAGGAACTAAAAGTAAGCAACAAAAACTGGCTTTGCGAACGTGGCGCTGACAAGCTGCAGCAGCACCTTTTACTGTCTTTGAAGATCCATTGGCAAAGCCTGTCGGCCACATTCCTGTTGAGCCCCGTCAATTCCAGGAAACGTTGCCGTTTTCCCGTCTATGCACTCCTGTCTTCTAAAGAAACACTCCATGTGAGAGACTGGAAGCTGTTCACTGTGTTTTCAAGCTCCTCGTTGTTTGCCTCGATGTAAACCTTTCCTGTTCCAGTGTTCAAACACTAACGTGCCGTTTCATTCCTCTCACCTGAGAATTCACCCTTTAACACGTGTGCCACACCACGAGTCCTCCGTGTTTCACTACATCTTGGTTTTTTTGTTTGTTTTTGTTGCCACTAAACACGCCTTAACTAACTAGATTTGTGCAAGAGCTGATAATTTATTGAAGCCGCATTCTCAGAACAATTGTATGTTAATAAATAAGAGACCAATCCAAGCTTCCATCATCCTTGAATCCCGCCACGATGGAAACGTGTACAAAACACAACGCTATGTTTACTGTTGCCTTAAGCGGCAGGTGAACTGTACACACATGAAGCACGATGAAAACAAGAGACCCAGACTCCAAAATATGACTTTAGATTGGAGGAGACAGGTTAGTATAGAGAAAGTGTATTAGTTGTAGCTTTCAGATTGGATTACAATGGATAAGGCAGGACTGGAAGGGAGTGACAAATTCACATTTTGCTAATTTAGACCAACAATAAATATACATCTCAATTACAATAACACTTATAATGTCTACAATTCAAATTGTGAGGCTTAAATAGGTTGAACAACAGATGCAGTTTGAGTTTTTGATATTTTGACTAATTGTTTGCCACAGATGAAACCCCTAAATTCAGTTTTTGTGGAAAAGTGACTTATTTTTAGACTAGAAGAAAATACTTTTAACACAAATATTACATCATGGCATGCACAATCATGGGGAGGACAGCTGAGTTGATGGCATCCAAGCATGTTAGTGGAAAGTTTAGTGGAAGGGAAAATTGTGGTTAAGGGGGGAAAAGTGCATAAACAGAATATACAGCATCCTTGAGTGGATTGGGAAGCAAATCCCATTTAGTGGGGGTATGTCAGAGGTTTGGGATCTACTGGTTACATTGGGAAAAGCCATTCCAAAACCAGAGACAACTTTGTATGCATTTCACCAGAACTAACAAAGTCCCTTTTCACATAAAAACATGATCAGCACTTCAATTGGAAAATAAATAATCAAGGTACCAGGAGTGGAGAGTCAAACTTGAATAAATGTTCATGCACTACATGCTTTTTCCCTGGTGAGCTTCGTCAAGGCTTCTGATTTCATTTTACTGCAGAGCTTGCCATTGTGTCAAACACAATGATGTGGGTCTATTAATCCATGTCGTTTCTTTTAAACAGTTTTGTAATTTGCTTTAAACTTGTGTATACTTTGCAGTACCAGGTTGTGTGTTGCAGATTTTGTACCCAGGTCCCTCATGCAAATGATATATGCATATCAATGGGATTAGATAAAGTAAATAATAATTATATATATATATTTTTAAAAATACCTGTCTTAAATGCTGTGATGTTTATTTCTGGTCAAACTGGTCTAAACAGAGAATTGAGCTAACAACAAACTGAAGGTTAGTCTCCCTTAATGCCTCTGCAGAGCCTCAGGCTGTTTACAGTGGTGCTGCATTAATGTCATAATTCATGCAGAAGCAACAAGCAGGTAAGTGCATGTACACGGTACGGTTCATTAACTGAAACATGCCTGCATATCGTTAACACATAGACAAATTTATGTCATTTAACACAGTGGCCCCCTTTCCGGCCCACCCCGTGGCGGCGCCCCTGGATCTCGCGCGCAGACGGGCGGAAGGAGGATAAACCCAGGTTCGGATCCGCGGTCGGTGTCAGTCCGTGGGGACAGAGAGGAGGGGCGGAGCGCGAGCCCAGGAGCTCTGCGTCGACACCGGGAGTTCACACACGAAGGTTTGCTGGGGTTGTGAAGTTTTCACGCGACAAGCAACAACCCACGCGCGCGGTGATTTTCCTCCCGACCCGATGAGAAGCCCGGCGCGCGCTCTCGGCCAGGCACGGAGGACACTGACCAACCCGCGCAGGTACGCTTCCAGCTCGAGCTCATACAAAAAGATAAAACAAAATAAACCAAGCTAGTTCAGAATGTCGTGTTGTACAACAAATTAATTACAAAGTAGGAAATGAAAACTATTTATTCTGCTGTAAACATATTAATGAAAAGCATTGTTCGGCTTTGTGTTTTCTCTGAATCAATTCAATAGCAATTGAGTGAGTTCAGTGGGATTAGCAGCAGCAGCAGCAGCATACTTTACACATCACTGGCTCAATAAACACCAGAACAAGGTGTTGCCCTGGTTTGGGATTTCAGGTTGGCTCAGAGGATTCCATCCTGTCTCTGGCTGCGTTGGCGTGGCTCAAGTGTGCTTAAGGTAGACAGTTGGGTTAAGAGAATAAGAAAAATTAGTTTAAAGCCCTGTTTAGTTTGTAGCAGTTTGCAACATGTCATGGTAATCTTGAGGGGGAAACACTAGTGTCTGTCTGGAGTGCAGTTAGAAGTAAAAAACTATATATATATATGAGAAAATTGATCCTAATGGTTTTAAAAACACCGTTGGGAGGGAGGGGGAGGGGGGAACAAAATATTTTCCAACTTTTCATCTAATTGTTCTTTCCAGATAGGTGTATATGTCTCAGGCTGAGCTCAGCAGAAAGTTGGAAAACAGTTTATGAATCATAACTTTCTTACACCTTATTTATCACAAGAAAACCACATATTGAAGTTCATTCTGTAGAGACATTTTTCCTCACAGGCCCTTGAGATCACACTAAACCTTTCCCGTTTAAGATCTTTTAGGATAACCGGTCCTTAAGTTTTTTTTTCTTTTTATTGCGTTTTGTTTTGTTTTTTGTTTATTTTTCAACTCAGAAGTTTATTTGCACTATAGTCATTGTGCCTTTAGGTAATGTTGGAAAGCTCAGATGAGAATGAGTCAGCTTCTGACAGGTTAATTAACAACATTCGAGGAAAACAGAAGACGACCTGCTTCATCATGACAATATGAAGAAGAGAAATATTGATCTAGTTCAACCTTAGACATATGCCTGACTGTTATTCCATTATTCTGATAGAGACAAAGCTATTAGTATAAGAGATTACAGTGAACAACACTGCAGCTGTTTGGCCAACATAATGTCCCATTTGGAGCTGGGATTTACAGAACCGCAAGTGGCCATTTGGACTTTCCACTGTGGTTCTTAATAACTGTGGTTAATAATGAGAAAGGAACAATTAATGTTTTTAAATGTAAATCCAATAACAAGTGGAAGTCTTCAGCTGTTTCTCTGTATTTTAAAGGAACAATTACACTCAATTTCCACCACACAGCGGCAATAAAAGCACCAGTGATGTTTTTCAAAAGTATTTATTCCACATAAATTTCACCAAATGTTAATATCCCAAAGGAGAAATGTATTTTTTTTTTGCCAAACTTTCAACTCTTTCTTTATTTTATAACCTAGAAATAGAAATAAAATGGCTGTTCTTTGAAAAATGACATCACATTTTCTACAGTGGATACAAAATTATGTTGTCATTTTTCGAAAGGTCATGTAACATTGGTGGCTCTAAACCGGTTTTATCCAGCTTTAGCGAGGGGTAAAAGTGGCGCTTCCTCGAGGTCGTAGACTCCTGATTTGGAGTGGGTAGCTTGCTGTCCTGAGAAACCATTGCTACAGCGACGCACGGTGGTGGCAGCATCATGTCGCGGGCCTCTTTTGCCTTAAGAGAGATTAGTGCACATCTATGTGGAAATGTCAGGGAAACATCTCAAGACATCAATCATGAAGGCAAAGCTTCGGGACAAACGGATCTTCCAAATGGACCATAACCCTCAGAATGCAATCCAGTTCGTTCTAATTTGGCTTAATGAAGACAAATCATGATAAAACTTTAATTTGAGCGCCAGAGGTGATTTGTGTGATTGACGCGGTTTACAGACCTGACTCGGTTTACATACTCGACTCGGTTACACCAGTTCTTTTAGGAGGAATGGTCCAACATCCCAGCAAACCATGTGATGACCTTGTGCAAGGAGACCCCAAAATTTGACCCAAGACAATAGTAGCAAATACTAAAGGAATGCGGGAAAACATTTCAGTTTGATGATAGTTAGACAAAAAATAACTTATTAACTTGGAGATCAGCTTCTGAACGTAACTTTTTTATTTTTAATGGTGAGAAACGTGTCTTTTTTATAAAGTTTATTTTAATATCTGACTTAACCCGTGATACAAACAATTATTAGTAGCAATAGTAACACCTAATTTTAGATATTTTCAACAGAAGAACTTTGTGTCTTGAATTTTGGTGTTAATCTTGAATTGATTTATGGAATATCACTATGACTAATTTTGCTGGATGATAAAGTATCCCAGAAGTTTTTGTAATAAATGATAACATTAGTGTTTTGAGACCATTTTCAAGCAATATAAGAATCAATAAACTTTCAAATCTGATGAACATTTAACACTGGAACTTGAATACTTTTTAAATATCCAAAGTAAATAATCAATACAACAGAAATGACAAATAAAATGAATTATTAAAACAAGCTGGTCTCCGAAAACAAAAGGTCCAGCTGAGACTAAAGCACCAGACTGAAGATTTTTTGTCATCTAGTTTTTGGTAGAAAGAGAGAAAAGAGAAAAAACAATAAATCATGCAAATGGAAATGATTGAGTTTATTTTTATTCATCACGTGATTAATTGATTTACTGCTTATTGTGACAGGCCTTTTGTAGAACGGATTGAAACAGTGAAAATCGACAGGCAGGTTCTGTAATAATCAGGAACTTAATTTCTGCCTGCGAATCAGTGAGTCCTCTGGGTTTGATGTGAATGTGACACGGTTTCAATCACAACTCATCTCTGTTGGAATTCTGTGCTTTGATTTGTGACAGCGTCGACCTCTCGTTTTGGTTTCCTCCTGCACCTGAGTGCCATTTATCAGGAGAAGCTGCGGAATATTGCGATGGATGGTTCGTTCTCGATCCACGGGTCACTTCCTTGAGACAGAGTCATTTGAACGAGGGAATATAACGGTCTACAAAAAAAAAACAGTCTGCGGATCCTTGCTGTAAATAGCACAATGAGCTGAAACCGGTTTGGAACAACTTTCCCCACATTATTCACTGTGAGAAAGAAAGAAAGTCAATCAGTGCCATTACTATGTACACCCATGTCCTCACACTTTAACCTCAGGTTCACATGGAGATGAAAACGTTAAAATGTAACACGACAAAAGTGGCATCCTATGAATTATTAATGCACGGACACCCTTGTTCTGCAAAATGCTCCGTCCAGCTGCTTAGTGGAGAATGAGCTTTTTTTTTTTTTTTTCTGGAGTAAAATCTTTTTCTGCTCTGAATAAAGTTTGTTTACTTCTGAACAAAACGCTCTGAGCTGATTACCTTCAGTGACACGAGCGGAAAAGTACTTTCTTCACCACCTGGGAGTTTTCAGGAGGTACATGGTGTCTCCTTGTTGTGAGTTCACACACATCTTTCCCCTCCGCGAGGCACGTAGAGGTTGTGACAAGAATGCAAACTAGAGAGGCCGGGGTTCTTGAATGCAGCTCTACTGTAATGTGTCCAGTTAATGATCCACCTGAGGACGTCTGAGCAGAATGAAGGGAAGGGTCGTGGTTGGTTGTTGTGCAGAGATGGGTCAGAGAGAGCCAACGGAAACATTTGGAGTCGGCGGATTCGAGTTCAGCAGCGGTGATTAACCTGTTGTCTGCTCTCTTGCATAAAGCGGCTAATTTGGAGAATTTCCATATTTGGAAAACACAAAGCAGTGCAAAACGTGTGGTCAATATTTTGCCAAGGCATCTGTTACTGCAGTTATAGTTGCATTTTTTTTTCGGCTGATGTTTTTAGGAGTTTTGTACGTCTACAGATTGAAATTCTTCTTTTCAAAATAAGATCAGTCAAACTGAACACATTGCAAAAACACAAAATCTTACCAAGTATTTCCCCCCCTAGTTTCTAGTGCAAATATCTAAGTACATTTGAAATAAGGCAAAAATAACTTACAAATTAGGGGAGCTTGTTTTAAGTCAATAATTGCTTTATATTGATTTAAAAAACTTATTTCACTTATAACAAGACATTTTTCATGTTATACGAGAAATAATCAGTTTGAAAAACATGCATAATTTTTCTTCCACTTATCATTTATGCACTCCTTCATGCTGGACTGTCATAAAATTCCAGGAACATGCTTTTAAGTTTGTCGTAATCTGCCAACATGTGGAATTTCCTAAGGGGTATGGACACTTTTGCAAAGCACTAATAGATTAGTGTTTTCAGGATGTCACAATAGAAACAGATTTAGTCATGTTTGGCGAAGCTCCCTGTTGGATTACATGAACATTTCGACTAAGTGTTTGAGGTGATTCACAGGAAATTCTTCTCTTTACGACTACAGATGCTTTTATTATCAGTCTCCTCCAGGGTGATGATGCTAATGGCCCCATTTGTAATATGATGAAGAAATGAATATGAATAATATGATCATAATTTCTAGGACTATAACTTTTATCTTCACAGACTAGCGCAGCGATTTAGCTTCTGTGTATCTTGCAGGATGGTCAGCAATGTCAACTGGGAATAAACTGCAGATGAACAGAGGCAAAAAAAACAATTCTTTCCAAATGCAAAACAAAAAACAACAACATAAAAACCCCAACACAAAACAATTGTTCTTATTCTTGCCACCTCAAGTACAGGCCAGTGCATCATGTGCAATAACAAAGATTTTTGATTGTTTACTCGAGGCAGCAAAAACTTGTCATACTTTACAACAACTTCAGGGCTACAGGAACAGAACTATGTCATATGTCCTAAATTAAACTGATTCCTTTAACAATTGAGCTATGTTTTTTTTCCCCTCCTTCTCCTTTTTAGGTGTCATTAGCTGGTTCTAAGGATGTTTTTGTTATATCACCACGTGTGGAGGTAGTCCTACATCATCTGTGTATTATTCCTCCGAACCTGGGAGTGGCGATGGTCCACTGGACCACAGTGTGGGGGACATGCATCCGGCTTCAGACTCTGCTGGCCTTCGCCTTGGCCATCTGTCCCTCACAGACCCCCAGCCCTGTCAACTTCTCTGTCGTTTACACCATGCCCTTCTTTCAGGCACAGGGACCCATTCAGAACATCGTGAACAACTCAATTTACCAGGAAGTCTACGTGGCCTCACAGAATGTCATTGAAGCTGTCAACAGGAGTCTGGAAAAGGCCTGGGAGCTCCGCACTGGGCCGGTTGGAAGCCCAGAGTGTCGCATATGCAACTTATGCGATATCGATAAGGATTACAACTTTCTGGAGGACACGGACAATCAAGTGTTGGTGCTGGACACTCCTTTTATGTATTTATATTCCTGTGGAAGCTCTCAGTATGGTGTTTGCTATTTTCACGTGCTGAACTCAAACGGAGAACTACCTTCTCGCTCTAAGTGTTTGTTTAGGAAGAGTGCAAACTCTGCTGCTTATTGTCCAGACTGTGTGGCGAGCCCTCTGGGTACCAAAATGTCTATGGTGGAGGAGGGTCAGGCAGTCTACTTTTTTGTTGCTGCCTCCATCAATGATAGCGTTACCCAACGTTATGGAAGGAAGTCGATATCAGTCCGCAGACCACTGGCCACAGAGGATGGTTTCTATAGTGATGTGCGAGGCCTTACTGTCCTGCCCACCCTCCGGAGGACTTACCACATTGACTATGTCTATAGCTTCTTCACGCAGGAGTTTGTCTACTTCCTCTCAGTCCAAAGAGAGAGCCCAGATCAGGAGTCATCTCCATTTCAGACTCGTCTGGGACGTCTGCCAAGGAGCGAGTGGGAGGTGAAGAGGTATCGCGAACTGATCCTGGAGTGTCGCTTTGAGCCTAAGCGCAGGAGGAGGAACGTTCGCGAGCCCTACAAGGATGTTGTGTACAACGTGGTCCAGGCGGCCTACTTCGGCAAGGCTGGCAGGGAGCTGGCAGAGGAACTGGGGGCGGAGGAGGAGGACGACATCCTCTATGGGGTGTTTGCTGTGACTGATGACAATGGAGTCACGGAAAATGACTCGGCTCTGTGCGCCTTTCCTATGGACAGTGTGAACAAGGCGATCGTTGACGGCGTTGATGATTGCTGTCAGTCTGGACCAGAACAACTCTCCAGAGGCCTTTGCCACTTCCAGCCATGTGAAAGCTGTCCACACGAGGTGAGTCTATCAGTTCACAACAACAGAACAAATCCACCTCAGACGTGATACTTGATGTATTTGATGTCCGCAGTTCTACTTATGGACAGCAGAGATGGTAGTTTTACCTAGACTTAGGGAATTAGGGGAAATTCCACTTTCTTTCTTAATCACTCCTTACATTGTGCCTCTGTCTTTAATTGGTGAAGTCCCTTGGGATATTTTTACTATTTGGACTTGATAGGAAAATATATAATTTGGCAAATTGGAATATCTAGAAATATTTTTGTTTTGTGCACTTGACAGTGAAGGAGTGGGAAATGTTTAAATTAGGACTAACAGGTGTTCATGAAACTATTTCAAAGATGATTGTGGTTTTGAAAATAAAAGGACTTGCAGCGTGACTGATTTTGGAGCACTTCATGACAGGTTCTGAAAAAGATAACTTTTAAATACTATTGCATAAAATTAGGCAGTTTTCAACATAATTAGCATTCATAAGTCAGGTACTAAATTGCATGTATATATGTGATGCAATGTTTGCTTCATTCATTAGAATTGATTTGGGACTCATGACTGCTTTATTATGCAAAGACAGAGTCTGGTAGGCAGTGGAGTGTGTGTGTGTGTGTGTGTGTGTGTGTGTGTGTGTGTGTGTGTGTGTGTGTGTGTGTGTGTGTGTGTGTGTGTGTGACTAATCTGAATTGTGCTGGAAAGCAAGAACATGATAAGATGAGAATGAGATCATATAATTGATAAGATTGTATTAATTGTATCAATTACTGTTCAGCTACAGTAGCTTCATAAAGAATTATCACCGCATGTGAAATTTTAAACTATCTTTGGCCTGTTTTAACAGCTTTTGACTGATTATTTGATGATGTGATTATTTTAGTCAAAAAAGTATTTCTGACCGAAAAAAAACTAGCAGAATTAGCTCTTCACTTGTTAAGATAGGTGCTGCATAGCTGTAGAAAAATCATCTTAATGTACCTCATGGAAGAAAACAAAGCAAATAAAAACAGTAGCAAATTCCTTTCAAGCACCGCGTTTGAGAAAAGTCGATAAAACAAATTGTTTAAGATCAACTCTAGAAACAATTAAGATGGAAAAGTTATTTTAATCCAGGGTGACATAATTTGCATTTGTGAAGAAGCGTAGAAACAACATGCATTATGTTACTACAGCAGCCCAAGTGGGACATAGATACTCCATTTCTGGGCATTATGGGCTCATGATATTTGGTGGTACTATTGTAATAACAATGAAAATGATGTTAAAGTGAGTAACATCATCCATGGAACCACAAACACAAAATATTCCTATAACTGGGTTCCTCGGGATATTAGGATATTATTCTCTCAGTATATGGTGTGTTAATTCTCCAGGGGAAAGCTTACAAAAAGGCTGCTTATTTTCCCAATTCTCATGCATATTTCCCATAGCATACATGCTTTCTCTGCTTTGGCACGAGTGCTTCCATTTGGGAGGAGGACTGGCAACGTGGGGATTGTGGTGAGACAACCTTTTCCATGAAGTCCCATGTAAACAGTTGCCTTGGAGAATTCATGGGAAATTTTACGGCTGAAATTTACAATTTGACAGGTCCTAGCGAAAGTATTCACGCCCCTTACTTTATTGTCGTCATGTTACAACTGAAACACATTTTATACTGCATATAAAATGTAATTGGGTTTTATTTACATTTCATATGACAAAGTAAAGGAAGATAGTGCATAACTGTGATGTGGGAAAAAATTGATACATGGTGTCAAAATGTTCAAAGAATAACGATCTGAATATTGTGCGTTGCATTTGTATTCAGCCTGGATATTGGTTCATTTCAGAGACCAAAGACTAAAATCACTAATAGGAGTTTTTAGAGAGTCACAGTCAATGTTCCCTCTAATTTTTCATGTGTCTGGGCGTACACACAAGCTTCCTGGGCACACTGAGGACCACTGTGAGCATCATCAGTGTACACGGCGTGGCCACGCACAAGTATCATAAATCTGGGATCATAGAAAGTTGCATGGCTTATTAAAAAATCAAATTACATCAGCAATTTTCATTCGTTTGCTTTTAATTTAAGTGATTTGCTCAATTTAAATAAAAAAAAGAAAAGAAAACATTGCTGTTCATGAGAACTCATGCTACAAGTAAGAGTCCTGCTTCAGCCAGGTTGAGAAATGAGACATCACACCTTTCAGACATAAATGTTTGTTCATATTAAAACATTCACGTTTTGCACAATAAAATGTTTTCTGTAGCTTGTGATGCAGTATAAATTCTTGTAAAATATTTAATTACAGTTTTTTTCACGTCTGCCCTTCTTGCTTCTCACTTCTCCAGTGGTTGTTCACTTAGCCCAGGTTTATGGGTCAGTCTGCTTCTTGCTTTATGTACTTGAATTCAGCATATTGACTGTTAATGGCCTCCATAATCTGTGGGTGGAGGAGAATGGCCTCATACTTTTTTGCCAGTGTACAAATGTCTGCTTATCCATAGTCAAAAGTCTGAACTCAACATTTCAATATCAAATGCAGACCATTCCTTTCATTTGATTTGATTCCATTTGATCTTAGAAGAAGTGCATTTCTTTTTTTTTTACTTTGGCTTGGTGAGTGGATGTCCCACGTAGACATGACAAGGTGATGGCTTTCACGTTTCTTAACTCTACTGCACTATTCTCACCTGCACGGCGCATATGACCAAGGCACGTAACCCACGTACACACAGCCAATCAGCATGTGCTGATTGGCTGCGTAGCGAAAGTGAACCGTATCATATCATTGGCTGGATTCCTGTCACTCACTGAGTTCGATTGCAAAGTAGTATGGAAAAATTTTTTTATTGGTCCATAGTCAAAACTAATGTCTGAGCTCAATGTCCACTTTACGTTGGACTTTATTTTATGCGCTACATAGATTTTCTTGTGCGCTGAGATTATGTGAGCAGTGCGCAATTGTGCAGGCGCGCAGTTTAGAGGGAACATTGGTCACAGTGTTGTTCATTAAGCTCACTTAGATTTCAGAGATGCATTTTTAAGTCCTTTTTTTTTCTTTTTTACAAATTTTCATGTGGATTATGGTCTGGAGTTTTTTTTAATCACATTATTTAGTATTTATTATGATGACAGGAACGCCATCAAAGAACCAGTTCTGACATCAATCCCGCTTTAGCTGTATAAAAAAACACCGACAGCAGAATTAAACTAGCATAAACACTAGAAATATAGTCAATGATCATCTAAAGAGCGATGCGTCGTAATTTAATCTGTTGCAGAGTGTTTCTGACGCATGTTGTGACCCACTCTTCCTGACTTTTTAAGCACATGGTTAAAGATATATGTTAATGAGCGATGGCCACAAGGACTGGACAGAAACACAAGATGCTCTCCTGATGTGAGAACATCCGTCTCTGAAGTCACTTTATTGTGTTCTTTGCATACCAGTGTTCCCACAGCAACCAGTGTACGTAGAGGAAACAAACCATTTCCCAAAGAAACCCACTGATCCCAAATCTCCACTGATCAATCACAATAAGGTACTCAGAATACTGGAATGTAATTCTCCATGGAGATACCTAAAACCAAAGTTCATACCATTTATGATTGTTACCTTTGACCTTCTTTTGTAATAAACAAACACTTGTTCCTTTAATGAGCTGCTTTTAGTCAAGCTTAGATCTAGCTGTGCTCTGTTGCTATCTGCAAGGCGATCTCTCTGTTGCTGAAGCATCATCCGTCACGGCTTCTTACTAAATCACATTATCACTTTGCGCATCTGGTGTGCTGGGTCTTTTTCTCATGGTCGTCGTGGTGACGAGCACACCTGTCAGCTTCTAAAGATCAAATCTTGAAGGTGGACAGTGCATGAGTTTTATGACGCTGGCTTTGACCTGACATGCCCTGTCTTCAGGCTTGTATTGTATTAAAAATTTATTGACATAAAAATTATTGCTGATTTGTTGTTAAGTTGCCTATAAACAGTTGCCTGCAAGTATTAACAGGCGGTCTAGGAGCAGATGGGTTTGTTGGCCTAGCTGTTAAATGATGATCGGTAATATCTGAGCCTGAAAGGAGCAACTCCTGTTAAAACAGACTTGTTCTTTCAGTAGTGGGGTTGACAGTAGAACTTCAATAAACTTCAGCAGTGTTTGAAGTTTGTCAGCATTTCAATGTTAGAACTTAAAGATGGCCTCCTCTCTACTTCTGGTCACTGTTTCCTCTCTGTTTGCTCCTCCCGGTGGTGGCGTCAGAGTATGGAGAACAACGCCACGTGCAACGACCATCCCACCATGGTGTCAAAGCCGTACTACAGAGTGGACCTCTTCAACAGGAAGATGACCAACGTCCTGCTCACCTCTCTCCTGGTGACGACCATAGAGAACAAAACCGTCGCTCACATTGGCACCTCAACTGGACGTCTGCTTCAGGTGTGTCGCATCGTTGCAAAAAATAAAACCCAACTAATGATGCTTTGCAAATTGCAAGGGGATGTAGGGTTGCAGTATATTCACCTCATGAGATGGTGCAATCCATTGTGAATTCATAAGAGATGAGATTTTAGCACCAGATTCAGGAAAACCAAGCTAGGACTTTTTCCACAAATAGAGCAAAGGCTTCACAAACTGTCTTTAAAAGTGTCTGTAATCATTTGATTAGAATAATCCAGTCCACAATTCACTAGAGATGCACCGATTCGACATTAATATCACTATCAGTCCAGATATTGAATAAAATTCTTGATTGGGTTTCAGTGACAATGTGTCTGATTGATAAGGACAGATCTATTCAGTCTAATTCTATGAGTGATGTCGTGTTTTTTTTATTTTATTTTATTTTACATTATATTTAACATTGCTAATTTCATATTCTCACATTCTGAATCATTTGTTTTGTTTGTAGCAGTAAATTTTTTTTTTTTTTTTTTTTTAATGTTTGGCCAAGAGAGTCAACCTATTATTTTTGTCAGTTTCTTTATTATTTTCTTCCTAATTGCGCTGAGTGAACAAATTAACATTATGTTGTTTTTACATTTTTGCCCACGCTTGTAAAGCTATCAGTTTATTAAAGTGTGCTGTACTGGTGCAGTGTTATCAAGTAAATGTGTAATTCAGTACATTTCTGTTTTTGTTTAAAAAAAATGAAACATCTTAAGTCAATACGAGGCTATTGTTTTGTATTGGATCGTATCGATACAACATGATGTATCGGCCAATCCAATCCGATACAAAACCTCAGACATCAGCATCAGTATCGAAAGTGGAAAAAAAGTGGATTGGTGCATCCCCATTACTTAATTTGAAAAAAAAACAAACATTTTTAAATACTTGTTTCTTATGTTTTCACAAGTAGAATAAAATTCCAGAAATCTTAAACGGTGTTCAAAACAAGCTATGTGAAGCATCAGAAGTGTATATATATATATATATATATATATATATTATATATATATATATATATATATATATATATAATATATATATATAGATAGATAGATAGATAGATAGATAGATAGATAGATAGATAGATAATATATATAATTTTTTTATCTCTTAGCATATGCTATGCTATGTCTGTGTTTGCAGCTTGTGTTGACAAGATCCAGCCCGGACATCTTTGCCAACTACTCCTTGGTCGAGAATCAGAGGGTCTCTTCTATTGCTGCTGTTTACTCCTCGGAGTATCTGCTATTTGTAGTTGGAGACAAGGTATGGTAAAACGGCCTGTGTCTCTGGTCAAATATTGTAATTTGTTTATATTACTGTCCCTTTTTTAGTTGAGCTCTCAGGTAGAAGGAGTAAAACTTTTCTCCAGCGGTTTAAAGACATTCCTATAAGGTTTTATTACAGTCCATGCCTGAATGTTTTGACAAAACAGAGTCTGTGTAGATGGATGCTAGATACTGGATTAGTTACTGCATTTGTCAAACAAAAAAGTCTTTCTGTTAGCAACAGAAAGACTTTGTTACAATATTAAAGGAATCCTGAAAACATGCTGGTCTTTTTCAAGGCTTTTTTTTTTTTAACCAAAATTATGTAAAGGAGCACCGGTTATCAACATTGAACAGCTTCCTTTTAGAAAACTATTTTGTTGACATTTCATTTTTTTCTTCCTCTTCTTGTCTATGACTAAGTAATGGATTTGAATTTAACCAAGTAGTTAAACATTTATATAGAAATAGTTTAGTTAAATGTGTTTAAAACAGAATGTTTCACACATGTAGTAATCAGAATGTCAATTCTTGGGGATTATGGTTGTAAAATTATTTCAATCTGATTGCAAGTTGACAAAAACATGCAACCGTGTTCTTACTCTCTTTATTATAAGTTGCAGTAGTTTTTTTTTATAATTACATGACTTTTTGAAATGCTTGCCTTACTGTACAGTATTTTTGCTCTTCATTCAGCTTTTTGTATTTACTTTTATCTCTATTTGCTGTGTATCTATTCTATTATTTTTAGACAAGCTAAAATAGAAAAGCTGTGTTTGGAATGAACTGTTGCAGAATGAAGCGGTCTTTGAATGAGTTGACTGATTTCACTATTCAGATGATCCAGGTGCCCCAGAGGGGGCCCGGCTGCCAGCACTTCATGACCTGCGTCACGTGCCTGACGGCCCCGAAGTTCATGGGCTGCGGCTGGTGCTCTGGCGTGTGTTCGTGGAAGAGTGAGTGCCACAGCCGCTGGAGGAACGAATCCTGTCCGCCCGGGATCAGCGGGGTGAGGCTTGCAATGTGTACCAAGATACAGATGTCTCTTTTTAACGACGTCAGGTGTTGGCTTTGTATATTGGGTTCGTCAATTTCTCCTTCTACTTATGCAGTTTTTTCCAAGGACCGCTCCCCCTGATGGACAAACAGAGCTGACGGTGTGCGGATGGGAGTTTCAGTCGCCGCTTCGACCTGCTATCACCTCCAAGACCCACCAGGTCCGACTGGGACAGACCGCCTGCACTGTGATTCCTCTCAAAAGCAACAGCACGCAGTAAGTGAGCCTGAAGGCTTACCTGTTGTCGTTCTTTGTTTAACAGTCAATGCGCTCTAGAAGAATACAAAACACAAATCTAAAATTTTCTCTAGACAGAAAAAAAAACCTTTGCAGGTTCTCGTAGGGTTGCCAGCTCTCATGTCTCCTCTCACTTTTCCTCTTACTCAGACAAATCTAATTTCTTCATTCCCTATTGATTTAAATTAGGACAACGCATGTTAATGTCATACCTGAAGAGAAACTTGGCAGATTGTGAGGAAATGGAGCAATTGTGCCAACCACCACTGTGAAAGGATGATCATTAAACAACAGGGGGAAAATATCTGCTGGGTGTGAAGAGCTCTGAAGCAGCAACATAAAAAAGTAAAACTAATTTAGGCATCAATGAGTGACAAAAAGAAGTGATTGGAAGCTGTTGGTCAATCTATCGACCAAATTGCTATAATTTCCTTTTGTGTTGTATTTATATTCTTTGTTTTGTATTTAATTTGTATTTTTTTGTATTTTGTGTATGCTTACTGTGTGCCACATTTTTGCCTGTGAGCTGCTGGTAACTATAATTTCCTGAGGGAGTCTTCCCAAGGGATCAATAAAGTCAAGTCTAAGTCTCTAAGTCTAAGAATTACAGTTTATGGAAACAAAGGTTTCCAGAATGGAGTAGAATGATTGTACTGCTAGGAAACTTTATAACTTTACACAAAAGTTGTCCTTCATTCCAGAGCTATATTCCCAACATGTCAGCCCATTCTTCCTAAAAGTTACACCTGTAATCCGATTCCCGTTCCACCTGTTATTGTAGAAACAAAACAGTTTTGTGTTTTCACTTGTTCAAAACAAGTACAAAGGACTGACACAAAAAGGACACTGTACTCTACTTTCGACATGCTATTGCCCTTCATCATGCTCATAGGGTTACCTACAAAAATCAACATGGCAGTTTACAATTTAATTTTTTTTTTATTTTGACCATTATCATAGTTTATTTTGCTAATTTGTATTGCACTCACAAAAATTTTTGTGTTTCTAAGGAAGGAGAAATTTTACCCATTTGTTTTTTTAAAACAGGAAATAGTTGCTAAAAAGCAAGTTGTTTGTTCCTGATGCTTCTCTGTCGTTTGCTTCTGTCAGTTTAGTATGTAAGATTCGCTCTGGGACCTCTGAGCTGTTCAAGCCGGTCAACATCACAGTGGACGTGCATGAGGGCAGGGTGGAGGGCCGCTACTCTATTGATGGCAGGGCCGAAGTACCAGGGTTCACGTTTGTGGTAACATCCTTCTGTCAGCCCCAGAAAATTACATGTTTATAGTGACTAAAATGTAAAAGAAATTGTTTTAAGTAACTTTTTAACCAAAACAGAGAGTCACTTTCCCTGTAGGTTCCAAACATCACAGAAATCCAGCCCAACTACGGACCGCGTGTCGGAGGAACACTCATCACGATCACCGGGTTCCACTTAGATGCTGGAAAAAACAGAAGAGTCACTCTGAATGAAGTACCCTGCCATATGAGAAGGTGAACAATGGATTCTGATATTTTTAAGTGTCAAAAAACATTGAGAGAAGTTGGTTCCAGGGGCTTAAAGTTATGTCTGTCCCTACTGGGTCCGAAACCAAACAGGCCTCTACCGTCTTATAGCAACTCCAGTGACAAGAACCGCACACTGGTGTGTGCAAATGCTTTCTTAATGACCTTTGAACCATTTTTACATTAACAAGTTACTAGAAATTTCTACAACTCTTTTTATGGCTTCACTTGCTATTCATCCCAGAGGCTAAAGCTAACAGCTCATCTAAGAAGGCCGACTTCTAGCATCTTAAAACAACTCCAGTGTCAAAAGCTGCACACTGATTTGTTGAAATGCTGTTTTAATGACTTTCAAACCATTTCCACTTTTGCATTAGCGCTTCTATTCCCACAAAAAATCTAGAGTCAGAGCGGAACCTGTGGGCAGTGCGCCCATCAGTGACCTTCCAGTGTGACACGCGTACCGAGAACAGAGTATGTATTTGGATAGTTACTCTGACTGGAGACGCTTTACATGTTTCCTTCTCAGTGTATATTTCACTCAGGAAGATCATTGGTGGCACACATCCTCCCACGTCCATTTTCTCAGTAAATAATTATTCATGTCTATGTACATACCCACCCATTGCAAACATGACAGCTGTTTGCAGGTATTTTCCATAAATGCCCTTTGAAGTTTTTAAGTTGCGAGTTGTTTAAAGACTATAAAAAGCATGTTTTGGCTCCTATAACCAGCCTCAGCCTGGATTTATACTAATACCCCAAAAGTTATCTACTGCTGAAAAGATATTAGCTGCTTATAACCTTCAGACAGAGGCTCATTTATGAATTTATGAATCATCCCTTTAAGGCTTTGAATTGCTGGATGACCTAATCGTCAAACTTGTTCAAATATGTTTTCATTACCAGTTAGGAATCTGCTGACTGAGGCAGAGGAATCATTCAACTCATTGTACTGCAATCTTCACCCATTGGGAAAACTGGGGTTAAATGTGGAGAGCATTTCAGTTTAATTCACATTCTTGTTTCTTCAGGTCCAAATCAGTAGCCAATGTTTCGTCCATCATCTGCTTGTCCCAGGCCATCTCGGAGGTGAGGGATGTCCCGCTGAGCGTTTTCATCGACAAATCTCCAGTCCACACCACAAAGGTGTTTTACTACAAGGAAACTCCAAAGATTACGGCTGTGCTGCCCGACTGCAGCTTTCACAGGTTGGCCACTCAGAGACTTCAGCCCAAGCCGCTGCTTGTGTCTAATTTTATCTGGATTGCAAAAGGACATCAAACCGTGGAAGGTGTCGAATTTAACAGGACTTGACAATCGAGGAATGAAAACGCAAACGTCTTTCTTCTTCTCTCTGAACGTAGAGGTTCAAAGATCGTGATCGAAGGGGAGAACCTCGACTCGGTTTACCGCACCGTAATCCGCTTTAAGCCCAACGAGAGCCACCTCAGAGCAGTAACAACGGTACATTTTGACCGTGTTTGTTTAAAAAAGTCCTTCTGGGTTATTCATTTTTTCCATGTACTGAGAGCTACAGTAACGCCACGGTGTTTTGCTCTAGGAGTGCACTGGGAAGTCCCTGCCCACTCGGATGGAGTGCGTCACTCCGGCGTTCCAGAGGGATGAGAGCGAGGAGGGCCTGCTATCGTTTGACATGGACGGCGCCCTGGGCCTTTGGAACAAAGAGTTCTCCTATCACCCCTACGGAGAACCCATTCCTTTTGAAACAGAGGGACATGTGCTCAGTTTGTATCCTGGGTTTGACGAAGTGTCCCTTCATGTAAGTGATTAGCTTATTTAGAATTACTCTGAAAATATTCTATTGGAGTTAAATGCTTAGCGGCCGCTTGATTAGGTTCACCTCACTAGAACTTGGTTGTGGGTTTGAATGTTTGTCCGCTGGAGGTGTTCATCAGAACACGGGTACATTGTCGTCACAAAGGGATGAAAATCATCAGCAAATGTTCCTCATTGGACTTGTTTCGGTTTCAGCATAAGAAACTCAACTTGGTGAGCTCCTGCATGACCATCGTCATGACGGTGGCAGATGTCGACTGCGATGCCAAAGTCCTGGATAATGAGATAACCTGCAGGATCCCTAAAAACATCACCATTCCCAGCGACGGACTTCCAGTGAAGGTTGGTCAGGCTGTGTTTTTATGGAAATTTGCCCTCCAGGATCATGTTGTGAAGGCGATCTGTTCAGGCACTAATTGAACACTCTGCTAGTTGACCTTCAACTCAGATTTAAGCGCGACAGAGGGAACTAGACGACAGTGGCAGATGAAATATTTAGCTGGATTTTCTAGTCTTACAATAGATTTTGTTGAAGTTCAGAGCTACTCAGACTGTAACCAAAAGGTTCCAGCTGGAATCTTTGGATTCACATGTTTCTGGTACGCCCGTAAATCTGTCGCATGTCTGCAAGCAACAGCTGTCTGTGAAAAAGCTGCTCCTCTGGGCCCACTGGGAGTTAATTTGTGCTTTGATCAACTATGTGCTGCAGAAGACTATTGTCACTTGCAATTAGTGCAAAAAGGACCTGACCTACCAGCAAACATATTCAACCCTAAAATAGCAGCTAAACACGTTGCAGCAGCACAAACGTCCCCAACGCTAACGTCAGCATCATCCACAATCCACATTTTTAAAGAAGCTCCATGAACGATCAGGATAGATGAATTGGTTTCATACCTCGTTGCACATCTCTGTTTATTCAATAATTCAGCGGCATTTTCAGTTTTAGAACTGAAAATATTGCTCATTTTGTAGTTTTTGATTAAGTGCAATTAATTATAGACCCTGCAATCAACTCAATAAAAAATGTTAATCAAGTCCAGCCAGAGTTTTATTGATTTAGATGTACATTATATCTCAGTAGGAAATTCACCTGTGTTTTACACTAGGCTTTTGATCTTTGATTTTTTTTGTTTTTTGTCAAACCCAGAGCGTACTTTAACCATGAATGATATTTACTCCCCTCTAAATGCAAAAAACAAATTACCTCAAACTTGCAATATGTGTGTGTGTGTGTGTGTGTGTGTTGTCTCTGCTCTCCAGATCTCCATCAACGGCCAAGTTCATAATGTTGGCACGGTGGTGAGGGTGAACAATCACTACATGGTGGGAGTCGTTCTGGGAATCCTGGCGGCTCTGGTGGCCGGAGCCGTCCTGGCCTTCGTTGTGATGAAACATTTGAGAAAGAAAAAGAAAGGTAGGTCTGTCTCTCTTTCTCTCTCTCTCTCTCTTTCTTGTGGAGTCGTTTATAAAACTGTTGCTAGGTTTGGTCTTGAATGGGTAACAAAATCTTTCAACTAGAACAACTCAAGTTTTGGACCGGATATCCATGTGCTTTACTTTTTTTTTTGGGAGGGCGGTTGATGATTAAAAACAAAACAACAACAAAAGCTTTGTGACATGTCTCTCAGCCTCAATGATAGAAGCCCGTTTGTCCCACTCTGCTACTCGCACCGTGACCAACACTGTGGAACTGTCTCCCACGGGAGACTACAGGAGAGGTAATCCTAGAAAACATATTCACACCCCTCGGACCTTTGCACATTTTTTAGTGTTGCTAACAAACTTTGCTGTGCGATGGAGTACTAAAGCACAAGAGAATACAAAATAAAATATAATACACTTATAAAGTCATAACATTTTAAGAATAAAGTTCTATTACTATGAGCTTTTTTAAAATAAATAATCCCTTAATATTTATGAAAAATAGTGCTAGTACCACTGGCAGATTATTTTATTTACAAGACCTTTTTCACCAAGTTAAAAGTAAAATAACCTGCCAATGGAACCAGTTCTTTTTTTCATAAATGTTAGGAAATTATCAACTTAAAACAAGCTCGCTCTTATTTCTTGCTAAAAAAAAGTTACTTGTAAGTCAGTTTTGTCTTATTTCAAGTGTACCAACATATTTTCCACTAGAAACCAGACCAAAAATACTTGGCAATACTTGTCGTTGTCACGCTCAGGCACTGATGGACGCAGGGCCAGAACCGGGGAATCCAAATCGGGATCAGGGGGTTCCTGATCTCCGGGCCAGACAGACAGGGGAGCAGAGCCTGCGGGTCCAGAGTCCAGGTCAAAACAAGTATCAGATCTCAGGGTCAGACAGACAGGAGGTCCTTATCCAGCTTAGAGGGTCAGGAATCGGGAACAGGAGAGGCAACTAGGCAGAGACAGACAGGTTAGATACTGCGCAGTTAGCTCAAGTTTCTGTAGCAGGCCTGAAGGAGTTACCGCTGAGGGTTTCACAACAATCTGACGCCGTGCAGGGGAAGATCCGTCTTTATATGGCAGCAGCTGGGGATCAGGAGGATGATGATCAGGTGCGAGTGGTCACTGCTCAGCAGCTGCGACAGTCGTTTTGAAGAGAAAGCTCTCCAGAGTCAGGAGGGCCACATAAAAAGCGATTTGGCCCCCAGACCTTCAGCTTGACACACGTTATTGCGCATTGACACATCATTCCCACATTAAAGTTTGTGGTTGCCAACGTGAAAAAAATGTGCAAAAGTTGAAGGGGTTTTAATAATTTTGCAGTAATAGTCCACACATCAAAACTGCAGCGACGCAGCAGTAACACTCCTCCGCATCTGTGCTTCCACTAGTCGTTTCCCTGAGCCCCCCCACCCCTCTGATTGGGCCGGTGGTGTTTCGGGGCCTGGCCTACTCCGCCTGCAACAGAGATCCGACCCTCACCCCTCTCATGCAGACGGAGAAGATCTCCATCTCCAGCTTCAGACCAGAGCTGCTGGAGGAGGTGAAGGACGTTCTCATTCCTGCTGAGATGCTGATAGTGCAGCACCACCGCATCATCGGGAAGGGTGAGAAGAACCTCATCAAAGTGAACGTCGAAGGGGTGCAAAAACGTTTCTCATTCTGTTTGTGGTTTTTCCCGCAGGCCATTTTGGAACTGTCTATCATGGCTACTTATCAGACTCCAACAACAGAGAAACTCACTGCGCAGTCAAGTCTTTGAATAGTAAAGTCTGATGTCGATTTAACAAGAGAACAAGAAAGTCAATCCAGTGGAACAAATTGTCTAAGCATCTATAATGTCTTTTTTTTTTTTGTTAAATCTATCCACTCTCCAGGAATAACGGATGTGGAAGAGGTGGAGCAGTTTCTGAAAGAGGGCATCATAATGAAGGGTTTCCACCACACCAACGTCCTGTCTCTGCTGGGCATCTTCCTGCCGCAGGAAGGGCTCCCCCTGGTGGTGCTTCCGTATATGAAACATGGAGACCTGAGGCACTTCATACGCTGCGAGAAGAGGGTGTGATGTACTGCTACTACTTTAATTATAAAGCATAAAAAACAACAACAGCGACTGCTGCGGCAAAGAGCAGTACAGATAAAATGAATAAACATTCAAAATATGGGAAGGCAAAAAACAAAAAGATCAATAAAGATGCTGAAACAGAAGTAAGAGAAAATAGTGTGTCTAACGAGTAACATATTCATTTGTTAATTTTTTATTTTTTTCTTAGAACCCGACTGTAAAGGATCTCATCGGATTCGGGCTGCAGGTCGCCAAGGGCATGGAGTATTTGGCAACCAAGAAGTTTGTCCACAGAGATCTCGCTGCGCGCAACTGCATGTAAGAAACGGACATCGGTCAGCGCTATTAGATTTTGACCTCTTGCCAAAATTAGCGAATCAAGAGACGATAAGCTCTCTGCTCCGCCCGCAGGTTGGATGAGTCGTACACGGTGAAGGTGGCGGACTTTGGCATGGCCAGAGACGTTTTTGATAAGGAGTACTACAGCGTACAGGACCACAGGAAGGCGAAGCTGCCCGTCAAATGGATGGCCATCGAGAGTTTGCAGACGCAGAAGTTCACCACCAAGTCAGATGTGGTACGTGGGATTAAGGAGGACGATACCAACACTGGCAGGAGAGTTTAATATGCTTGTTTGTCGATGTCTATTCTAGATCTGACATATCTTACAAAAGTATTCATAGCCAGTTAACATTTTTTTATGCCTTGTTTTGCTACGATTAGGAATGCACCGAAAGAAAAATTTGGCCTGATTTCAATATCCCATATTAACATCATTGTTATCAACCAATACTTACCAATAATATACATATTTCACCATCCTTTCGACATCTTGATAAAACAATACCCACACCACTGACAATGTTTTTGTGCTTCAGTTAAACGTCCCACAATCCTTTGCTGCATCATTATCAGCGTCACATGAGCAAAGAAAAACCACATGACAAAACAATCTCCAGAAACAAAGGATAACAAGATGAAGATATATATTGGTTGTTAATATCGCTTTTTTTTTTTTTTTTTTTTATTAAAAAATTCTGAATGTTGTCCGATGTCGATGTTAGTGCCAGTATGTCATCCTCAGTAGCAATCACACACTGCAGTGTTTATTTTTGGGATAACATGTGATAAACCACCACAGAGTTATCCATGTTTGTGAAGTGGAACAGAAAAAAAAAATGTCCATCTTTTCCCATTATTTCTCATTCAAAACCGTGGATATTGTTTTATGATCTAACCCTGTTGCCTGAAAGTTTCTCCAGAACTTTGATCACTGAAGTTTTGAATTCAGTTCAATCTTGAGAATTGAATTTGACAAGATTCAATTACGGGTTACTGAAATAAAAGAGTCTAAATGCTTAAACAAACTTAATTTTTCCTATTTTAATTTCTAAAAAAAAAAAGAAAGAAAGAAAGAAAACCACGTGCCCTTTCACTTGCATCTTAAATCTATCTGCTATTTTGTCACATTAGGTCGCAATGACTTCCACTGGAGACGTTTGATGAACTGTGTGTGGATACTTTTGCAAGGACCTCTATGTGGAACTCTGCATGTGTCTTAGTGTTTGTGTTCCCCATGTTCTGTCCTGCAGTGGTCCTTTGGTGTTCTGATGTGGGAGATGCTGACCAGAGGAGCGAGCCCCTACCCAGAGGTGGACCCTTATGACATAACGCATTACTTACTGAAAGGCAGGAGGCTTCCCCAGCCGCAGTACTGCCCCGACCCACTGTGAGTAACACGAATGATAGCAATTAGCCGCTGGCACTGCGGATTCCCAACAGGAAATAAAGTAGCCCACATACAAGTGCAGCACAGGAGATCTGGATACAAAGTCCAACCAGCGGAAACAAGCTGTTGAAATGGTAACCCAGTAGAGGTGAATTGTCCACTACTCTTGTTCTGACATGGTTATCAAATGTTGTCGGGGAGTTAATGTGTACGACGCACTTTGAAAACAAACTCAGTGACACGCTTCTTTGTTTTAGTAAGTTTAATGATGCGTTATGTTTACACGCTGTTAACACGCCTTCACGACCAGTAGAGAGGTAATGCAAACCAGCCAATCGTTTTGCTTGTATTTTCCACCGAGGTTTTGTCACACACTCCGTCAAAAAGCGTTCTCACAAAATTACACAAATCCCTTAATAAATTCATGACTAATGAGTCATAGGTACAAACCCTCTGTTGGAGCGCTAGCATTTCCATGAAATCCAACCGCGCCAGAATTCACTTCATTAAACCTGGAGCTAAATTCTTATCCAGGCTAGAGTTTGCTGTTTGGTTCGATGAGTTCAATTCACAGATCCCCAAACAAACCGGACTTTCTAGACCAGGGTTGTCAAACTCATCTTTCGTTTTGGGCCAAATCAAGACAGTGAAGGCTCTTAAAGGGCCAGTTGTGCCAGAACCTGTTTAGAGGCTGTCAAAATATCAATGATTTTTTCAAATTAAATGGTTTATTCTCTTCAGTCCCTCGTGATTCTTCATGTGATTTTTTTGCAATAAAAATCTAAATCAGTGTTTGTGGTACTAATTTGGAAATATTTACCATATCTGCACTTATTTTGGATGGTAAAAGCCACGTTTTAGTACTTGTTGTATAAATCATGGACTGTGATCTGATGTTAATTAAGAGTCAGGCAGCTGTTTAGTAAGACACTTTTTTGACAACTTTTGAGAAAAATCTCCGCTAAACGCCCAATTGTGTATTAGCGCAAAAAAGTGGAGGGATTTGTTGATTTTGTGTGAATTTCATTGATAATTCTCAAGAAACCAGAGGAACTGAATGATATACTTTGGCAGCAAATAGGTAAAAACTCCATTTATTTGATTGATAACATAATATTTAAGATTTTAGTCTGGAATCTAGAGGGCCACATAACAAGCTATTGACGCAAATGAGCTGGAGTCCGATTGAAGCGGACTAATCGGGGCTGGTGGGATGCACCGTGTTGCCCTGACTATTCCTGAACTGCAGTGGGGGGCATCACAAAAACCCTTCCCCGGGCTGCTAATAGATCCCAGGCCACACGCTTGGACACCGCTGACCTACACTCCATCCCTGCTTCCCCCCCCCCAGATATCGCATCATGCTCCAGTGCTGGGATCCCGATCCGGAGCGCAGGCCCAGCTTTGCCACTCTGGTTTTGGCCGTCTCCACCATCCTGTCAAGCCTGGAGGGAGAGCATTACATCAGCCTGAACATCACCTACGTCAACCTGGACCAGCCGCAGCCGTACCCCGCTCTCACAGACTCCCCCGATGAGTACGACTCCACGGACGTCGAAGGCTCCGGCTCAGACTCGGACTCTTCCTGATGCAGAAAAAAAAAAAACACTCTTCTCTGGCACATTTGTGTGTTTTATGTCAAAGCGGGAAAAACAAAGTACCTTCTTACTGTCTGAGGACATGAATGTGATAATAAGAGACTGCAGGTTTTCTACTTGAAAATGTAGGAACATTAGTCACGTCTCTAAACTGCCTCTGTGGGTCAAAGTATCATCCTTTGTGTGTTTTTCACACAGCGGCACTTCCGTAAATCAGAATATCATAAAAATATATACGTATATATTTCTAACAAAGAAATGGCGGCAAGCTAAAAGGTATTTGTGTGTCCTTTTAAACTGATTTCTGCATTGATTCTGTGTAGAATGGATGCAGAGGTGTTGAGGAACCCAAACTGTTTCAATCATGGCCTTCAGTGGGAGTGGCTTTTACCACATATCTTTCTTCCACTAAATTTTCCATGAATCTGCTTTACCGCAGCTCTGTGCTGAACTTCTATTGCTTCCTCTGCCTGTGGAGAAGAAGCAATAGACTGTCAGCTAGGAAAATGTTAAGTCAGAACTTCACCTTGATTTTTTTTTAGGCCACAATATTTCCATAGAAAAAAACGTTCTTTTTTTGGGGTCTTTTGTAAAATTTTAATTTTCCAGTAAGCTAAATTTGTTATTTTTTTAATTAGTTGTGAGCAGTAATTATCAAAAGAATATAACGGGTATGTCCAGAGAAATTAGTCGGTTGGTAAATCCTGCCAATTTTTTAAATTATGGAGATCAGCAGATACTTACGTGTGAAGCAGGTCATAAAAATCAGCCGCTGTCTCGTTTGACCTCTGCCAGGATATTTAGCAACTTTTCAGGAAAAAATACAAAATAAAAAAACAAATCAGTTTTGGCCAAAATCAGGCCAAGCTTTCTAAAGATTGGTTGAAACCAATCACTCTGTATGTAAGGACATCTGAGTTTCCTGTTTGAATTTAAATTATAAAGCATAAAAAAAATGTTGGTGATTTTATAATTTATTGAGCTGGACCTGTTAAGCATTTATAACTTAACAATGTTTCATAACGTGGCAATGGAGAAATTAGAACATGAATTCAGGGAAATTCTTTCTTTTGTCTTAACTCAAATACGTATAAAGAAGTTTTGAAGGCCTCGATTGAATGATTTCATGCTATTTTTACCTTTTTTTATTTTATTCTAGAAATCGAAACTACAAAAAAAAAAATCCACAAGATTTCCCATCAAATCTTGTGTATTTTTACCCATCAGTTGTTTCTCTGAAAGACAATTTCAGTCACATTCTCTTAAGAAGATAATTCAACAAACCTTTTACCGCCATATGGATTCCACTCCATCCTCTCCTGATCCAAATGCTGGAAATAGTTTCTGATAAGAATCTATTCTGACATACTGCAGGCCAGAAATCAGCCTCTAACGATAGAAATGCTTGACGTGCACTGGATTCAGAATCTCATATTTTGGTATCTGTCAGAACTGAGTTTTCCCTCCCATAATGCATTTCAGCGAGGGGGAAGCTGAGCCACACCATCACAAATACAACCTCCGCCAAAAACTCTTAAGGCACAGAGGCTTTTCAATGATATAGAATTGATCAGTAATAATTAACCAAACACAAATGTTCTAGTGCTCACCCGTTAACTTGCTAGCTAAGTAGCTATCTTAGCTAGATAGCTAACTAGCTAGCACTGTTTCAATGTTGCTAAATAACACTATAGTGTAATTATATAGTACAAGTTTAACACATTACAGTATGTAGAGCCAATATACCAACAAAGAAAAAATATGTCAGTTTGCCGATATTTCTTTTAGCACAGCTTATAACACTGGCCTTTAAATTCAGACTAGCTAATGGTTAGCTTGACGGCTTCATTTTAAAGGTTAGTCGCTCTTAGCCATGTTTTTTCTTTATAACAAAACTGGTTAGTGTTAAGCAAATAGTATGGCGATATTTTAAACTTTGTTTTTCTGTTTGTGTAAATACGACCACTGTGGTGTCAGTTATTCCACACAACGGAGAGAAATATTATCCAACACTATGCGGTTCTCTTTAAATGCTTTCTTACATTTTCTGTGTAAATAAAATATGGGCAAATTAGTCTGTTGATATTCCTGTCCTTGAAATAGTGTAATAAAATATTTATTTGTTTATTGGTTGGCTGTCGTGTTGTTGAGTTCGGAGAATTTGCCACGTCTTCTTCTCCTCTTGAATTTCTTCTTCTGTGTCCGCGCACCCGGTGTCGCCCTGCAGCAGGGAGCGCGTTTCCCCGCTTCTCCACGAGAGGGCACTGATGTATCAATAAGGACTTCCTGGCGCCGACTCGCTGCTTCCCAGCTGCACAGCTCAGGCTGTCGTCTTGTGGGGTGTGCTGATCGTTTTCACAGCATTGCTGCAACATGACCGAATCAGATTTTCCGCCCCTTCTCTTGGAGACAGACTGTAAGGCCTAAAACAGATGAGAGCAGTTTTAGCCAGTCGAGTTCTTCCTCTCTTCACTGTGTCAGGACAGAATTATGTCAGTTTCAAATTGATAAGATGTCAGGTTGACCAGCCTGCAGAAAATCTCATCAATGTGGGAAACGCCTCGCCAGCATGCAGCAGCGACTCCCTGCAATGTAAAGAGACATCATCGTCTTCTGGAGAATTCAATCCTCACTCTGGACAAAACCGGTGGAGAGGAAATAAAATTTAAAAAAGTACATCCTGCTGCCAAAAACAAACTCCAAGATACTTGATTTAGACAGAGTGAGCCAATCCTAACCAATCAAAGCCACGTTTATATGTGAGGCCATAACCTGGACACCGATGTCTCTTAATTTCGTCCTCTGTTATTGCAGAAGTTTGTTGGTGTTAGTTAACGTCAGACATTGAGTGAGGCCGGGTGTTTCTCCTGAATAAATATGGGCCATTTTGTAACCTGAGCTGGACAAACCAACCCATGCTCACTGTTGCATTGCATCACACTTTGAGGCCGCACTCCGAGGAACCGAGGCAAGTTTTAACCGTGCAAAATGAAATGTTCCCCCAAACGCCTTGCTTAGCGTCAGATTTTAGTTTGGCGTAAATTTAGTGTGTTTCATGTCTGGACCACAAAGAAGCTACGAGTTACAACAAGCTACGCGTCGCCTCAGGATCAGTCAGACGGGTTCAGAGAGCTCTTGTGCAGAATACGTCTCAAGTCTTGCTACATATTCTTAATTCAGTGTTCGGGACTTTGACTAGGCCATTTTAACACATGAGTGTGATTCATAGCGAGCTCTGTCAGACCAGCCTCTTGTTAGAGCAGCATCTGGTCTTTTCCAAAATCAAACGGGTTTGCCTCGACTCCGCCGAAACGCGACCCTGCCACATTCACGTTCTACCAATGTTGTTCAACAGACTTCTGAAATCTTTGTGGATACTTTATGTTGACATCTGTTTACACTCAGACGGCTAATTTTCCTTGGTTGGTTATTATTTTTTCAATTTGTTGCACAACAAGGAATCAGGGGAAAAGAAAATCATCTTTTTGTGTTTCCCAGTGCATCACAATTCTGCACTACTTTGTGTTATTTCATTCCAGAACGTACAAATACACTGAGGGGTTGCAGTGAGACAAAAGAGAAAAAGTCCTTTTCCACATCCTCTCCTTTTGCAGCTGGACTCTTTCTTTCCTGTGTGCATATCCCACAAAATGCAGGTTATTATTCCTACTAATAATAATAATAACATCCTCAACGTACAAATGTTTTTTTTTCTTTCTTTTCTCTCCTCTTGGCGGTTTATAAGCCGATGAGTTAGACGACAGCCAGATTTGAGAAAACATAAATAACTGGTGCTGGACTCCAGTGCCAGATCTTCAGAGCGAAACAGAGAGAGAGAAAGAGAGAGAGAGAGGAAACAGCAATTTGTGAGATTGGCCGTGTGAATAAGACTTTCAGGAATTGATATGCTAATTATTTCCGTCAGAATGCTGCGCCGGTGGCAGATTTGCAAATAAATGCCAAAGTAAGAGTTCGTGGGACTCTGTTGATTCTGCTCTGGCCCTGTTGTCACAACAGCAACACAAAAAACTGTGATAAAATAATATCCTTAAAAAAGAAAATTAAAAAAAAAACTTGTGAAAAGAAAAGGGATTTGTTCCCCGCTGTGTTAAACTTGAAGTTTCCTGGTTTTACTCCATTTTCTGCTTGATATTTACAGTTTAACTGTGACTGTTTAGCTTTGGAATCAAAACATGCTGTGCACAGCTTCTCTGTCTCGCCGTGTCTTGCTTACAGCATTAAATGTTGTCTGAGCTTCCTGGTTCATTAGTGAAACATAATCCACGAAGTCCAGGCTTTTGCCAGGCAACAAATCCGTTGTGTTCCGAAGATGTTGCTGCAACGAGGCGTTGCTGCATCAAGGCCTCACTGTAAGAGGAATACCGCAGGCAGCACCTGGACATAATTGACCCCTGCTAAATCGGGTCAACATACAGCTTTATAGCGACGGCCTCAGATGCTCGCGCCTTAAGTTGCCACTCGGTGTTTCTTTACGATATAATTGGCATCCAAACACGTGGCTGTAAAGCAGTTTACGACAGCGCAGTTGACTGAGCTCTGCATTAAGGAGTATTGACTCAAGAAGGAAATGGTTGACAAAATGAACCAAAGAGAGACAGGATTCTTTTTTTTAATTTAGAAAAATCTAAATAAGCGAGTTATTGAGCTGTCCTTGTGGAACCGTTTGGCTTTGATCTGACATATTTAAATAAGACAAAAAAAAGAAGAAAAATGCATGGCTGTGAAGGGGTTAAATACTTTTTCACAGCACTGCACATTTACCATCCAACCCTGTTTGAAAAGCTGAGGCAAGAAGTTGCGTTCAACCCACGTATTTATACCGTTTCCAACAGTTTGCTTTTCCACCTTTGACCTCTGTCGACCAACACTGGTGAGTTGAGATCGGAGGAAATCCTCTCAGCTGTATTATTTATGCCTGCTCCTGATGCGAGGAAGAGGAAAACTGTGGAGGTTTACTTCCTGCATCTCCTCGCTTTCTCTCACAAGCGACTACAAGCCTGCGAGTCAGTGGATCGTCCCAGTCCGACGCAATCATTTAAAACCAATATAAAGAACGGCGCTGTCCGTGCAGAAAGCCGGCAATGTGCTGCGGGACTTTTTAAGTTATCTCCATATTTTAGACGGTGGTTTGGATTGACGATTTCCTGCCGCCGTTTATCTTTATCGTGCTGCAGCAGGCGCCTTGCCCGTCCCTCAGTTGGCAGTAAATTGCAAACAAGGAAGTAAAATGGGAGAGTTCATTTACGCCTCTCCTGCTGGAAAAAAAGACCTTGCTGGATGAAGGGAGAGCCAAATGAGAAACAATAAAAAAAAGAAAAGAAAGGGGGTGTGGGGAGGGGCATCCACAAAGAAGAGGAAAAAAATCCTCTCAAAATTGCTGAAATTGTTGAAATGGAGTGTGCTGTCCCTTCATCGGGTCTGTGTCCTGCTTTAAACTGGTTTTAGTGACTGGGACTCTGCCACAGGAGAGCCCAGAAATAGTACAAACCCTAAAATAAAAACAGAAGCAAGAACGTACAAAACAGGATGAGTCGGAGAGCTTTGACTGGACTGGGTTTGGTTCTGTGAGGAGTTCTGACTGTTGCAAGTGTTTGGCTTGTCAACAAGCCCTTTTTTTTTTTTTTTTAAACCAGTTGGCGCCAACATTCAGACTACAAACCCGCTACAAAGTACTTTAATCTCCTGCTCTCTTCCTGTGAATCGAGCTCCAAGTCTTTAAGGTCATACAGTGAAAAGTTATCAATGGAAGATTTTTTATTTATTTATTTTTTTAGATTTGAGCAAATCATGTAAAAATAAACACCATGCTTTCCTTTTTGTACGGTGCTGGTTGTAGAATCTTTAGTCTTTGGTTTTGTTGTGGAGATTAATCCAGCTGCTAAAAGCATAAAGAATAATTAAGTTCCCAACATGCTGCATTGAGTTAAAATCATCACCTTTCTGAGGAGATGCTTCCAAACCCGAGCGCCTTGAAAATAGGTGGAAGTTTTATGCATGTAACATTGTGTCATTTTTAGCTGTCGCAAAAAGAAAGAAAGAAGAAAGGAGTACACGGTGAGAAAAAACATTAATGAGTGAAATGAAATGTATA